GTAATTTTTCTGTTAGCTCTGTACTTGTTGAGACCTTACCGCCGGAGACGGAAATCCGTTAGGTAAAGCAAGGTGTGCATTTTTAGGGTCGACCTTTTCTAACCCCACCCCTCCTTGTGGGAAGGCAGCATCGATGTCATTCACCTGTCTGAATGAATCGGAACTATTTTTGTTAAAAGTCTGAGGTTTCTGCAGTATAGAAAATCTATTCATAATCAATAATAAGACTTCATGTTGTTCCGTAACGGCATCACGTGTATCATTACTAAAATTTTCATAAGTAAAACATAAGTCTTTAGCTGTCTAGAAAATACAGGAAGGGATTTTAGGATCTGCTTCTTTAGTTTAGAATCCTTTTTACCAGCAATTAGGCGATCACGAAGTTGAACATGCAACTGCTCAGAAAAGTTGCCCATAGAAACTTATTTCTAATGCTGTAGTATGAAATCTTTAATAGTCTGATTCGGATCACGAACTATTTTGTTGAACGATGCTCTTTCAAGTGCCTCGAATGATGTGTTAGTAAGCTCTCTAGTTTGTTGAACGGAAGTAGAATAAGTTTGCCAGGATATGCAAGGTTCTTCAGCAAACTATAGGCTTATCTCCCAATATTAGTGATAAAATGAGCTGAAATGCTATCCTTCCTAAAGTTATGTAAGAAACATCAAGCATCAAAACATTCCAGATAATCTTCCACTTCCCGGGGTGACGTGTTGAAGGGAAATTTACTCAGGTTTCATGAATCCATTTTTATCGCGATACCAGATGTGTATTTGAAATAATATGATGCAACAGCACTAATCCCATTAAGTTTAGAACCCCAACAAGACATAATCAGGAACTCAAATTTGAAGTACTCAGTATGAAGTTGTATTGTATTATTATGGTCGGTTAAAACACAACAAAAATTCAACTTTACAGTAAATGTATCGGTTATTCACTACACTCACTGCCCAAGTCCAACCTTTTACGCTAGACTTTGACGTAAAATCCGATGAAAATATCCAGCTACTCAACCCATGATAAGTGAATTAGAGTTCCAACCTTACCTCTTGGAAAGCAAATCTTTCGACTATTAAATTACTGCCTAGAAACTGTAGGATAAATTTTAGCGAATAATTTGTTCATTGATATGAATTTGCTTTTAAGTACAGGATGATCTAGAAAAAAGTATATTCTGACGTGAATAATGAATTTATTGGCTTAAACGATTAACTTTTCTACGTAAAATTCGAATGAATATTCTTGAATTTACGTGAAATTGATGAACTAAATGGCCCATAATTTAAACATTTAGTTAGCCGTTTTAACAAAATGATAATGTGTTATTCGATAGTTAAAACGTGGTCATATATCCCATCACTTCAAGGACTCCGATTAATATTAACGTTTAGAATTCCATGTATTTTATCAGCAAATAAGACCAAACAAAGAATTACATTTACAATTTGACCAAACTTCTTCATGGAGGAACTAAACATTTTATTATATACCCTATTATCTTAATAACTGAAGTCTAATCATGGAATATGATTTCCACCATAACTATTCGTACTTAAAAATAATTCCACTTTTGTGACGGCCTTATGCATAACAAAATAGATTGCAATTTTATATCTCGATCCTTAGAAACACCTGGAGGGTGTTAATTCATTGCAGTTTATCCTACTAACTGTTGAACAGTATGGCATAGAACCTTGTCTACAGATATGACGATTCTCATTTTCCATGCATATATCATAAGTTAGAGCTCTTTCTCCTATTCATAATCAATCTATACTCCCACATCTACCTGAATAACTGACACTATATTCAAGCTTTTCGTATTTCATGATGTACTTTGACTCATTTTTTGGTAAATGGCTTAAACTACAATTGGATCCAACCACTTCATCTATTGTTAGCGGAGTATGAAAATCTTTAATCCTAATTGTACTGTTACTTTGTTGAACTGTTTAGTTTGTTTGCTGATTCTTGCTGGACATCTGGGGAATTTCTCAGTAAACATAGTGGAAAATTGTCACTTCATATTTCCGTGTTCAAATCTATATTTTCATAGCTGTATTTTGGTTTGGTATTCGAATGTAGTTGCCTGTTATTTAAATTTCTCTTCGAATGGTTGTCCATTTATTATGTATGAGTTCTAATGCGTTTCAAGTACTCCGTCTTAATAATATCGAATGAATTTAAGGAAAATGAAGTTCACCCAGAAACATTCACATTGACCATTTCAGTTTATATTATTAGAGGTAATAAGGAAGATCCACATGCTTAAGGTTAATTCAAAGTCTTTGACGTTTAAGTCATATAAGTGAGTCCTGTTTTAACACAAAAACCTTGTGAACAGTGATTTATTTATTTATTTATTTGAACACATAAATATTGGTACAGAGGGGCACCAAATATATATGCGCCACACAAAACAATGATAATTTGAAGAGAAGGAGGAAAGAGAAAAAAAAAAAGGTAATGAACGTGGGGAATTATAAAAAAAAAGGGAGAGAGAGAGAACAATGGTGGGGGAAACGGAAAGGTACAATCAGAAGAGATCTTTCAGTTAAGGAAGATATAAACACTTTTTATGAAGAAAGTAAGAGGTTACAGCACGATCGCCACTGGCTTCTATTCTTAGCCATATCTGATAACGTCTCTAGCCACTGCGTTACACCGTCTCTCGGACCCCAACCAGGGAGTCGTGAAGGACCAACAGAAGCTAGCCCTTTGCAGCTTTCTTTCATACCACGACACCATGTCATATACTGACCACCTCTCCGCTTTTTCCAACCAGTCCCAGAGTCGGCAAATAATGCACGACGTGGAATTCTCTGGGACGACATTCGTAGAACATGTCCTTTCTATCTGATTAACATTGAAATAACTCGTGTGAACAGTGAACCAATTCCAGTAAAATACCAGATACTATTGAATCAGAGTTTGCTGATTTTGAACATATTTAAAAGTTGCTTAATGAATTCCAAATAGATTTTAGAATAAAACTGATCAGTAACGATTGGATTCTAGAGATTATTCACCCAAAAGTAAAGTCAACTTAATGTGCAGTAAGACTTCGGATATCTAAGTTGGGTTGAGTGAAGCACAATGTCGAAATCAAATGCTATATTTTTCAACTTCATTGGAAACCTGTATATCCTATCCCCAACGCGTGAGTGTTTCGAAATAATAAAGTCATAATTACTGATCAAAAAGATATCTCTACACCTAAATATTCATAAGGTTAAATCAGTAATGTTGATCTCTTACAAGAAACTGATTTACTATAAAATACCTCTTACCATTGTATCTTTTATTCACCTAAACAAAATCAAAAATATCTTGCACATGTTCAGCTTAAGGTTTGAAGCATTCGTTAAATAGTATCTATTTACTGAATAGGAGGTCGGTCGCGGCCCGGATAGCTCAGTGGTAACGTCTCTGACTGTGAAGCTGGGTGACACGGGATCGAATCCGCCAGGGAGCACCAGTTCCCTCAAAGATTACAGGTACACCTTGCTGACGAGTGCCAAGTAGCACGAAACCCGGGTCCAGGGTTTCCTGTCGACCACCTCCAACCACCATCTAACCTTACAATAGTGCCCGCGGTGTCGAGTCACCTAGAATGGTGGCCACATTGCAACATGATCGATAGCATTCGATCTGCACTAATAATAAGGACTAGACACGCATGACATTGGTCACCCAGTGATCAATCAATTGTGAGGCAATAATTCGATCAAACATTCAACGAAAGGTCAGAAGATAGGACACTCAGAATAGAACAAAATGATCAACATATGTCTTACCTACACATAGAATTCGACTTCAAAATCATAAAACAAATGTTTTTGATAAAGATCATTCACTCATCTAAGCGAATTAAAGTTATAACTTCCAGTAAACTATCAAGGGACAACAAGTCTTTGATAATGTGATATATTTACCTCCCATTTCCTTTTACTAATACACTTCCGATGTAAACATAACCGAGATCCACGTACAAGCGGCTGACGAGTTGCAAATAGGTTGAAAATCGCGCCACATGCTCCATTGCTCGCCAGAATACGTCTGTTTTTTTCTGGAAAAGACCCCGCACGAACTTCAGACCATCAGTAAGTAGTAGACACCGGTAATCACGTTTGTCTCAATTGTTCGAAGAAAGAAACTATTGACGCCACATCCTATTCTATATATAGGACCAGACGTAATCTATATCTGTATCAACCGGAAAATGGACGAATCATTCCTTTTATGCCGAATATCTCCCCCAACACCTTAGAAAAATAACCTTCCAGATATTAACAGCTATTGTGATAAGGCTTCAATGAAGTTGGTAAATAATTAGATGAGTAAATTAAATATGTTTTCAATGAGAATCGCTTTATTCTTACAGATAGTCACTAACAAAATCAAATTTAAGACAACAAAATAATTTTCTGCCCGAAATGAGTTCCGTACTACATTAGTGTATTCACTTCCATAATTTTGATGCAAAACGAAGAAAGTTGTTCTCTATACTTTATAACTGTGAAGCGTTAAATTCAAGTCAACAGATGACTATGAGAAATACAAAAATATCTACAAAAGATATTATGAAAAATAGGATTTCGCGATGGAATAATAAAAGTTTCCTAGCTAAAATAATTAACGATACGTTAATTTGAATACACACGAAAGTACTGAGTTCATCGATTCCTTAGTAACAGTTGAATATATGCATTTTTGTTTGAATAAGACAAAAACCCATCGTCTTTTAAATAAATTATATAATGAAACTCATTTTTATTGTTTATCATTAATTATAAAATTGCTAAATAAGAGCAATTTACATAATTTATACTTTTGGAAAATGAAAGAAGTTTCATTCGGATTCTATGCTAATCACCGAATACATATTTTTATGAGTAATATATATATATATATATATATATATATATATATATATATATATCAACTATTTCCATTTCGCTCTCTACTCAAATTAAAATTATCATGTAAACAGAGATGGAGGGAGAAAAATAATTAATGATTATTAACTACTACCGATGTTAGTGATAACAAAAATATTACAAACATCTAAATAATGACATAAACATTTATTCTTTCTTCTTGAAAATATGAATCTTAAATACATTTAAAACAAATAATAATGAATGTATTTGTCTCAATTTATATTTAAAGAAAGGACTAATATTGCATATTGGTACCGCTACGCTATCACTACTTACCAGTAATAGTAGTAGTAGTAGTAGTAGTAGTAGTAGTAGTAGTAGTAGTAGTAGTAGTAGTAGTAGTAGTAGTAGTAGTAATGATAGTGAGTTACACATATGTATACAAAAACATGAGCATTCATAATTTCAATCATTCTGTCGTGCTTACTCAGCAACAAAGAGGAAAGTTTAAATAGAAATGAAGTACTGAAAGACAGAAACTTGAAAGATACGAACAACTTTCAAGTAGGTTACGTAAATGGTTCTTTTAGCAGATAGTGTTCGTTTACATATACGTATATGCTTAAATAGATAGATTGATAGATGCATTGTATTCGCTCCCCATTAATCTGTTCGTCCGGTTTTAAACGAGTATTTACAAAGTATTATAACAACCATTGTCGTAATCAAACAAAAACGTTAAGATAAAAATTCTCAGTTCTCTATACTCCCTGTCTCTCTCATTTTTATACATCGGAAATATCACCTGATGAATAGTTTGACTGTTTGGATTCGGAAGATAAGCAATGGTGTTCAGCTTGTTTATTTCCACTTGAATAGTCATTTGTAAACATATCTGATTTTAAATTGGAAAACGCTTCAGATAAATTGATAAGTTTTTTCTTTTCATCGACAATCTGTTCGTCCTCATCCTCATGTAGCTGTGACCACTGCTGCTTGTCTTCCTTCTTCTTATTAATTCTCTTTCCATCACTTACTGTTTTGTGAACAGAAGACGACGTTGTTAATTGAGAAATTTCTTGTTGATTCATTGTTCTACTGTTAGGTGTTTTAATGATGGTAAAAGTTTGCAGTAGATTAGATTTTACAACTGGTTCACCAAGAGTACTCGTTGATTCAGTTGACTCTATTGCTTTAGTCATTGACATTGTTGAAGTATTTGAATTAGCCAAACAAACTAATGGTGCCACTAACGATGACGCGTCAGTTCCATGTGTATCATGTAAACAACCAGATGTATTCACATTACCTTGCTGATCAAATAGACAATCACCTAGTTAAAAGAAATATATGCGTACATATATCGGACAGAATACACTTATGAATAAAAAGCTCTCTACATTGACTAAATAGTTATAATTGTTGAGTAATTCCTAAGTTGAAAGCAGTTGTTCCCTCCTATCATAATTAAAATGATTTTACTAACTAACAAAACTGTAAACAATTACCATCTAAAATTATTTATGATACATTTTCCAAATAGTAAAACATTACTAAAAACATCGTGTTTTTGTCAACATAATGTTGTTATAACAACTATTATCTTCAAGAAAAGACAAGATATATTGTTAATTCGTTGTAAACATTCTTGAGGTGAAAAACGAACAACGTATCATTAACATTTAGGGGTGAAATGATAGAAACGATCAATACAGTTCTCTCCCCATCAATTCTGATCACTTTTTAAACATAATAATAATTACCGTATGCTCACTAGTGACTAGTTTCGAGAGGAAATTCTAGGAATACTAGTGAAAAGCTGTGACCAGAGGGGCTAGTCTGTGTCGGGCGTAAGGCAGTTACCCACAGAAGAAAATAGAAGACAGTCGCGCAATTTCACACCGTTAGATACCGGCCAACTCAGTGGTCTAGAGGTTAGGTCTTCATTGCAAAACGGAAGGTTTTGGATCAGATCGTCTGGTAAAGCTGCGAACGAGTACGTCTGAGGAGTCCTACACTAAGACCAAACGGTTACTTAGTGCTTCTTGGTTTTCAATGGTTGTCTAAGATCAGTCTGTAATGTAAACTGTGAAAATTCAACAGTCTCTTCAAACCTCCTATACTAATTTCATATTCGTTTCATATTTATTAGGCATATATACTTTTTATCATACACAGTGAATCAGCTACAACGTAGAACCAGGCACATATATGCGCGGTCCAAGTTGCCAGACCTCATTAGCACGGCAAGATGATCACCAAAACCATAGAAGTAGCTACTTCAATGGTAGTAATATATAAAAGAAGGATTGAACATAAGGATATGATACGGAGAAAAAGAATTAGTTCGTAGAACGAAAGGTATAAGGTAATTTTAATCTCACGGTTTAAGGAAAGGCAAAGAGTTTATACACCTACGCCATTGTGATCGATTCTGAACAATGTCACCAAGAGTCTCCAACAATTAGTTACGATAGTCAAGCGGACCCCAACCAGATAGTCTGCATCTACCAACATGGTTCAGACTAGGAGTTAGTGACTTCAAGCACTGATGCCATGTTTTGGTTTGGCCGTCCCTAACTTTCTTCCAACCGTCTCCAACACTAGTCAGCATTTCGTTGTGTGTTAATCGGTGTACAGGCATACGTAGCACGTGGCCCAACCATCTCAGTCGATGTTAATTCCCAACCCCATCAACTAGTTTACCATCATTCACTAATATCCTACTTATAACCTTACTATTACTTACCCGGTGATCCCAGCAGATGTTGGCAATATTTCCAAGAAATATGTGATCAAATACTGGTGACTTACGAGCATCTTGTACTCTTAATGACCACATTTTGCAACCGTAAAGTAGAACAGAACGAACTGCTGCACAGTATACTGGTCCCTTAATCGATAGACTGATATCTCGCCTTCATCATAGGTTACGTATGTTGGCAAAAGCCAAATGAGTTTTCCGAATTTGTGCTGAGATTTCGTCAGACACCAACCCATTAGGGCTGATCAGACTTCCAAGATGAGTTAAGTTGTCGCTTAGTTCAACTGTTTCACTCCTTATTCTTAGACACGGCATACATCATTGGTACGAGATTCTAAGGTGTTAGACAAGGGGACCTGGTGGCGGATATGTAGTTTGGAGCGAGATTTCAGTAAACCTGGGACAATACCTCGCGCACTAGAATCGTTGGCCATGATGACACTTGAGGAAGAAGCCAAAAGAGGAAGTTTAGAGTTGAAAGTCGATGTAGGAGGAATAATAGGAATTGGAGAGGGAGATTGATTATGAACACAGTAATCTTAGGTGCTGTTAGAGGTACGAAGACGGTTATCACTTTCTGATGACCCACACCGTGGAAGGATTCTTCTAGAGGTACCTGAAAAGGAAATTGGGTTAGATCTGGCCTTTTTGACCTGAGAGCGTGACCACAGTGCCCCAGAGACAACTACTTGAGGCCGGTTACATACAACTTGTTTTGTGAGTAATTTTTCTGTTAGCATCCTACCTTTAATTCATATTCTATAGAGAGTATCAGGTCTATCAAGACTGTAGATGCGTCCTGCTGACGAGTGTCAGCTAGCAACAAAACACGCGGTTACTTACACTTCAGTGATTCATGATTTTAAACTTCATTATATTATTTCAGAAAATATGACCATAACTAAATCTCATCAGTTAACATTCTCTTCAAATCCTAATCAGGTTAACCACACAAGTGATGACATTCAAATGAATTTCCGATAATTCATTCTAAACCAAGAATATAGCTGAGTATTGAATTGTTTTCAAATTACATCAAAAAATATAAACAATCGAACTAGAACTTAACTACCAGATGATAATAATGATAGTATGTCCACCTTCAAATATGTACATGTTAATATCATAAACTTATAAATATAACGAGCAATTGGTTGGAATTCTACTCAAAATTACCTGGGCGTACACTTTCACCAGTCTTACCGCTGCTATCGTTTTTAGTATTATTATTGTGATTGTCATTTATAAACTTTCTTATTTGCACAGGCGGTGATTGTTCAGCTCTTTTCGTTCCAGTTATTACATTTGTACCGATTCGTTTAACACTACTACTGCTAGTATTTAAGTGCATACCACGTGTATTTGCCGGATCAAAACGGTTGTTGACAATCATTGTGTGTTGGTTATTACACATATAATTTTTACTACCAATAATGCCACTGTTATAACCAGTACTTGTGTTGTTAGCTAAAAACTTTTCGCGTATAAATTGAGGTGGGAAGTCAAGCAAACTGTAAAAAAGAGAGAAAGGTATATATATATCAAACTTGCTATGCTGTAGTGAACAGAACACTGGTGGGAAAAAATTACAGAACTAGCTAGTAAAATCTAACAACCATATCGTAAATGCTCAATTTGCAAAAAGTCCATCAATTGTCTCAAAACGACTCATACTTCATTGTTCTTGCATTTTCGTACAAATTGCATTCCGTCTTCATTCTTTACTGCTCGATCTTCTTGTCTCTCTGCTGCCAGACATTCTGTTCACGACTAACATCGTATACTACTCATGTCCAGATAAGTTACACACACCACAATACTACTCACCAATAGAAATTATATTTAAGACTACATTTCCTGTGTTTACCTTCAATCAATAAGTCTTATTGTATATATATATATATATATATATATATATATATATATATATATATATATATATATATATATATATATATATATCACCTCGACCTAAATGACATTAGAAAAAGGTTAACGAGTAGTTACAGAACAAGCTAACAACACAAACGGTATAGGTTGTGATAAATAAAATCACATCTGGATTAACTTGAAGTTGGAATTAAGTAAAACAATATTTATTATCAGAAGGGATTGTGTGGAGATTTTAGAAATTTCACTAGTTGAAATCATGAATCCATTGAAGCTACACCACCATGGAAAACCTGGAAGCACTGGACGGCCGTTTCGTCCTAGTATGGGACTCCTCAGCAGTGCGCCTCCACGATCCCGCTCCTCGCGAGATTCGAACCCAGGACCTACTAGTTTCGCGCCAGGCGCTTAATCAACTAGACCGCTGAGCCGGCATCCAACGCTGTTAATGTCTAACTCCAACCAATCCATGAGGTTGCGCCACCGTACACCATAGTCTTCAGTGAGCTGATATCTCGCAACAGACCTGGTTGAACTCCATTGAAAATAATCATCTGCTCACTAGTGACTGACTTCAAGAGATACTCCTGGAGTTCTAGTGAGAAGCTGTTACCAGTGAAGTTCAACCAGGTCTGTTGCGAGATATCAGCTCACTGAAGACTATGGTGTACGGTGGCGCAACCTCATGGATTGGTTGAAGTTAGACATTAACAGCGTTGGATGCCGGCTCAGTGGTCTAGTTGATTAAGCGCCTGGCGCGAAACTAATAGGTCCTGGGTTCGAATCTCGCGAGGAGCAGGATCGTGGAGGCGAACTGCTGAGGAGTCCCATACTAGGACGAAACGGCCGTCCAGTGCTTCCAGGTTTTCCATGGTGGTGTAGCTTCAATTGATTCATGATTTCAACCAGTAAAAACAATATTTATCAAATGCTAACGGCTGAGTAGCATGAAGTTTTAATGCAGAAATCAATAATCACAGTGTGTAGTAAAAAGTGGCTACATGTACTTAAGGCAAAAGAGGTAAGTCCAACCTTAGATACACAATCGCTCTCAGCCAAAAATTAACACACGGTAACATCTTGGGCATGGAAACAATAATTAGTTCTTAATAACCTCCACCTCTTGAACCTCGACAGTTAATCTGCCTTTAAAGTATACGAAAATGTTCGCAAAACCCCTGTCTCTACTGAAATCAAGAGTATAACTGAAGTTATACTTCTGAATAGACAGAAACACACCAAATTCGAAATATAAAAATTTCCAATAACTTACGATGCGATCTTCCGTAGTTTCGTTTGTTCAACGACTGTTTTACCACGGGACAATAATTGCCGAGCTGTCATACAACGTATATGATCTTCAAATAGAAACTTTGCAACCATAATCGGCGATTTACTATTAGTATTATTAATATTACTGAACAATCGTCCAGGACTAGAATTTTGACAGGTTAAATGACCAGGTGCATGAATGGTCACATGAAGACAACGACTATCAGCTGGATCACAATGAGATTCCAAATCCTATTTATGCAATAAATTAGAAACCGAAATAAAACAAAACATTAGAACTGTGAAATCATCTTGTTTGATTTATCTAGAAACCAATTTTAGATAAAGTGCACATTAGACTGAGGAAAATCCTTGTTATGTTGTAGTAACATTATTAAAGACTTAGTTGAACAGGTTTTGTAGATTAGTTTATTATAAAAACTGGTTTACATTGTCGATTATTATCAACCTGGGAGTTGGTGAACATCAAGTAGCACTGAACAGTTGCTCTATTCTGGTTCAGGAACTCTCCATCAACATTATTGCAAAAATTAGTTTAATAGTGAATAACCGATCCTACATTTAGGGATGAATTAATTGATAAAAACGTTTTAACAAACTAAACTCAAGTATGATGAAAATTGAAAGTGAAGTAAAAATAAAATTGTATAGGATTTGATTCGTTGACTTAAGTCATCATCAGAGTAACACTTGTCACGAATGTACAACAACCCGAGTTGTTGTATACCCTACCAGTATAGTGAAAGGGAAATTAACAAGACAAGTACCTAAGGAAAAAAATTAACTAATTTCAACTGCAGTTCCAACCAAAGCCATGAAAGAAACAGTTCGGATGGAACGAATGAGATTGGAGATTGAAAAGTTAGTCATAACACTCAAATACAGATTTAGGACTGTAGTAGTGCAATCGATTTTGCACCAAGCATGAGACGCCTCCAACACTTGATTTAAAGCATTGTGTGGACATTGACCAAAATGCCAGTACTACTGACTTGGAATTTTACCGACTGAACATTAGAATCGAACTAATTATGTATTAAGTTTACATTGAACATTAAATTTTTTCCACGACTTTATCAAGTGAATGCGTTCATGAAAGAAAAACAAACTAGGAAGACTCATTTTTCATAAAGAGAATCAGTGAATAATTAACACATAGACATTGAGTACAAAGAGAATTAATTTTATGGATCAAAATGTAGAACGGCTATTGCCTTTAATAATAAATATATTTTTGTGATATCCCAATGAGTAGGAAATTTTCTTTGTAATTTGCTAATACCAAGGTTAATAATCGAAGACTTGTTTACTATCTATCATTCTTGTTCAACTGTTCAACATGAACTTACAAAAATTAATTTAATCAGTTTCATTCAATAATAATAGTAATTACTTCCAATTTCTAGATTAAATCATTTTAAAAAAAATATCACTTAACCCGAATATAAATACATTCAGCTTAAGACTGGCTTTTTTTTCTAACTGGACGCTGATAGAATGCAAAGTTTTTGATTTCATTGAGCAACAATGCGACTATGTGTCGGATCCATTCCCCTTAATACAAAATTTTGCTTCAGAAAAGGTCTATGTTAACCCCCGAACTTGCAATAGAGACTGAAGTAGTTGAGTGTGTTCATTACTTTACGTCTTATCAACCGGCGTAGGTTGGTGTCTGAAGAAATCATGGGAAGGATTCAGAAAGCCCCTTTGACGTTTGCCAACTTGCGTCACTTGTGGAGTAGGTGAGATATCCCTCTCCCAACCAAAGGATGTATATACTGTGCAGAAGCTTATACTTTGTAAATTTATAGTTATGAAACAGTCTATGAAAGTGAAAGACACACGTAGACTGAAGATTTCTAATCATGTCTTCAAAATATATATTGACTCCTGTGCAATGATCAAGTAAGAAATTTTGAGGTTAAGTACAGGCTATTCGGTAAATGTAGTGAATTGGTTGACGAGGTAGAAAATCTCTATGGAATATTTTTGGCGTCGGTCCATGATGTCATAAACTTTTAGGCTGAGCCGAAAAGACAGTTTCAAACTGTTTAGCTGGGATATGGGTGACAACTGCGATCAGTGCTTTGAGACGCTGGAGGACTAGAGTAGACATATTTACTCCCTATCTTCCTCTAGATGTTGAATTCTAGTATCCCTTCATGTATACCTTTCTACCATCTTTTGAAACCGTGTTACTAAGGTTTAGTTTTTCTATTAATAATTGCTAACACGTTATTTCGATCTCTTTGTTCATTTATCTCATCCTGCTAATGTGGTACGACAACCTGGGCAAATCCACATGTATCAGGCTCTATGTTGATGATGCTTGTGGATCATTTTACGTTGACCTTTCGTTCTAAACAATTTCACCATTTGCAATGTTGTCAAATTACTGAATTATTCAATGGACAAAAAAATCTGGATTTGATTCTTAAGAAAGCCGTTAACATGCACTGCTGAAGAACTACAAACAAGGACGAAATGTCTTTCGAATGCACATTATTCCCCAATTATTCTCCTCTCGATATCACTGAGATAAAAACTAACTTTAAACTGAAAAGTGTTAACAATCCATCTACTTCAATACATGTATATGGGCTTGATCTATAGACTGATTGTTATAGACAGTAGGTAGCAGTAGATACTGAGCTCAAGTTTCAGTATGATATATCAATACTGGGATAGTAGAAGAGTCTCAATTAGGACGGAACGATCATCTGAGACTTCAGTCCCATCCTATGCCCAAAATATGATACTTTGAATAAATTCATATGGTTCAGTAATAAAAAATTTCATTGAAATGCTTTAATTCACAACTTGATAAGTCATAAGTATGCAAGGACTATCGGATAGACTTATATCTCATACAATTAGTGATAGAACTCAGTAACCAATTAAAGATTCGTATAATCGTCGGGCAATTTTCACAAAACAGCTAGTGATATTGTCAACCTTTTTTAAACTGGATGACGCTTGAATTCAAGATCCAACAGTAGTAATTTAAGTATTTTAATTATTAAGTCCCCCTTCCTCCTACCAATCAAATATCAGTTTTCCAACTTTTATATGGATTAAAGCGCAAAATTTCTACAAGATGTTTATGACTTAATTGAATATAACAAAACATTAGCAAAAGTATTAGTTCTAAAAGTATGTAAGCGGTGGCTTGGCAATTGAAACACTTGACTTTCAACTATCAAGTTACGGATTTGAACACCGTTATGTATTATGTCAATAAAGACAATGTGGATTGATGACTACATGAAAGTTCACTTGAATTATCACTTACTTATGATCAGTATTCTACGAAACGAGAGATATGAAAACTGCATGTCACTTTGTAACCCATATTACATAGATGTTGAACTGGCAAACCGTACTTATTCTGTATAAATATGAGCATTACTCAATTCACTAATATGAGATTCATTAGTTGACATTTGTTTAAACTACCTACTTAGTTGATAGGAGTTAATTACTGAAAAAAGTGAACTACAATTGAGAATATTTACTAACTTGTAGTGGTCCAATAAATGTTATGACACCCCAACCAAGTTGTTTTGAGTCAGGTTTTACCAGAACCAACTGCTGACCACAACTAACTATAAAACGTTTTTCATGACTATAATGTATATTAAAAAAGAAATATATACACAGTTAAAGCACCTATTATGCATGAAGAAAGTAAAAAGAAAAGCACTTATCTCAAGGTGATCATTCAAATAACAGTTTGTGCAGATTTTTGAATTTCATGTTAGTTTTAACACGTTGATATCTGTTGGAGAGCTATTGATAACCAAAGAGTACCCAGCAGTTGTTTTTTCCAAGTAAACATACAAAAACATGACCATGCGCGTGACAAAGTAGAAGACAATTATCTCAGTTATATGTATCCTACATATTAAAAATTCCCATCGCTTTTCTTCTGCGTTAAACATCTATTTTGTTTCGTTGAATGCCACAACCAATCAGGTATACGTTGTTAGATATTTCTTCAGTTAGAATAAATAACGGTGCGGCTTTCTTGACATGCGCATTCAGTCAGCATCATAGTAGAACTTCGTACGTACGTACATCGGTTCAAGTTGCCATACCACATTAGCACAGAGATACAATTGTCGATTGTAATCCCGTAGTGGTAGAGGTGGTAAGAGTATAAGCAGTAATCGGAAAGATTAGGGTTTGAAGATATTATTTAAGGAGTATAATACAGTGAAATAAATTTGGAAAGAGAACAAGTAAAGGGACATGAAGAATACAAAAGATTAGAATTTGGGAGAACACAAAGAGTGGATGCACCTGCGCCATTGCAAATGATTTTGAACCACGTCATTCAAGGTCTCTAACCATCAACATGAGCATTAACCTTCAAATTATTGAATTAATTACACATCAATACTATCCGTTTAATTGAAATTAACACTTGGGATGTATTATTAACTGATTTAATACCAGTTATTTCACAGGAGGTTATAATGTGAAGAGATAAAAGGGTACTATATATATATATATATATATTTCATATTGAAGAGTAAATTGTTCTGAACTTACAAACGCCAGTTATTAAATTGATGCATATGGATTTGATGAATACCTTTTTGTCAAGACAGCTTTATTTGTTATATATAAATCGGGCTAATAAGCCTTAACTAATAGTTCAACAATATAATCAATTTACAACCGAAATCATACAGCAAAATACGAAATCACACTGACTTTATGCATCATGAATTCATGAGACAAGAGACTGTACAAATCAGAAAATCTATAGAAATACAGGATATATAATTGACAATCGAGCTACCATCGATACTAATACAACTCTAATTCTATTTGTGTTCATTGGCACATGATTAATGTTCAAGTTCAGTTGTAAGTTTATTTATTTATTTAAACACATAAACATTGGTACAAGGAGGCGCCAAATATATATGCGCCACATAAATCATTCGATTTGTATGAGGGCTGGGATACTGTCCGGGCGCCCAAACCGAAACAGGTGGTTTTCCTAGGGGGCCACGCCCGGAGCCTTCTACCTGAAGGTCTGATTCACAAGGCAGGGGAGTAACGTCAATTGTAAGTATTAATTCATTTACGTTATTCGCAAACAAACCATGAAAGGAAACGTCCTCTTAAGGACATTTGAAAAGTAAACTGGGCTATGAGTGGTTTTGAAAACCACAGAGTGTGACAACAGTGCTTGATAGATAGCTGCTAGGGGATTTGCTTTTAAATGTTTAGATGAATTAGCTTCATACCTTAAAGGCCTAATCGTAACCAAAGGAAATCCACGGGCTAGTGTGAAGTGTGATATTTTTAAAGTCAACCTTTTCTAATCCCATTTTTACATCGTGGGAAGGCAGCATCGCTAAAGATCCTCATTGTTTGATAGGAATACTTTACTGTCATCCCACCTGAAAGCAGTTGATAGTACAGCTTTCCCCTCGCAACTTAAATCCGTTGCTTATATATATATATATATATATATATATATATATATATATATATATATATATATATATATATATATATATAATTCTAAAAGACGGAATTCATATATATAAACGTTCATGACTAAGAGAAATCAATATCTATTAATCACTTTTAAAAATATTCAATGTTTATTCGTTTCATTTACCAGTCGTCCATGAGAATAACAATAGAATATCACTACTGAATGTGATAAACACTTTTCCCTATGAAAAATCAATTATACACGTTAAAGTTAATTTAATAAAACTATATTTTTAGTAAAAACAAACTTACGCAGAAAGGATTAAGATAAAAGACAACATATACAACAAGGAAAATTCCATTGATAAAAGATTTTATTGAAAAAAGAAATAAACAGTAAATAGGAAGTACGGAAACTTACATGCCAGAACATTCCACTGTACATCCAATCAGTGTTTCAGAGACTAAAGTAATAATAATAATATTGACCTTATTAAAAATGAAAATCCAAAATAATAAAGTTGGAGATGATTATCTGCCATGAATACTGATATTACTGAGAGAAGTATCAGATTGCTTTTGTATCTTTATACTTCCAAATGACCCAGTTAAATTATATTTGTAAAGACTTATATTGTCAAAGATTTACCAAGTGTTTTAATGACCTAATTACTATTATGATGACAGTCACCAAAGTAGATAAGCATAGTGGTTGTAATCTACCGAAAACTGACAGAAGTTGAAAATGTCGAGTATTGGATCAAGAGTTAGTAACTTAGAATAGATTTTAGAACATGTTGAAAAATCTCTCAAAAATCTATAACTTAAACCAAATTTGTCACATCGAGCTACACAGTTAGTATTTTGAGAAATCCAATGATCAACATCTACAACACAACTATCAGTACTTAGTTTGCTAATTCAAAATTTATGAAGCTTTGAGTAGTTTACGTTTAATCAAATCTATAGGCGTAAAACTTCGACGAATATCTGACGTTTAGCAGCCTCTAAAAAATCAAATTTAATTTACTGTTAGTGAAAATATCTCAGCAAATCTAACTATACTGTTATCATATGATCCTTCAAATGTATAGATGCAAGAGAATGAGAGATTTGGATTTTTAGGAGAGTAGTTCAACTTGAATATATGCACTTTTAGCATAGATACGATTAGGCTGTATTAATTTTGAAATTCCGCAAGTCAAATTCACAACACAAGTACATGATCATTTTTATAACCATCAACAAAAACTGACGATAAGAATATTTAAACAACTCAAAAAAAATTTTAAGACTGTTTATAAATGTTAAAGTAATTTTCATCACGAACTGTCATCTGATAAAGGACCACTAGGATTATTAAGGATCCAATGAATAAATGCTCTTAAACTCTACATTAGTCAGTACACATGACCCAATACAAGGGAATAAACTGTCAGACCTCCATAACTCGTGGGGGCGACTCTATTCAGTCACACTCGGTCCATATATCTGACTTCAGTTGATGTATGGTATATATTTCAACCATAATCCAATACTGTCAGTGGATAACTACTATTTATTCATTTATTTCAACACATATATATTTGTACAAAGGGGCACCAAATACATATGCGCCACAAAATAACAATGAGAATGTGAAGAGATAGAGAATGTAAAGTGAGCATAACAAAAGAAGAAAAACAACGAACAGAAATTAGTGTATGAGGGTGGAAGAGACAATTCAGTTAACAAAAGTACAACCAGAAAGAATTCTTCCAGTTAAAAAAGTCACGTCCATTTTTAATGAAGAAAGTTAAACAAAGTTACAGCAGGATCGCCACTGGCTTGTATCCTGAGCTATTCCTCATAACGTCTCAAGTCACTGTGTTGCACCAGGCAGTCCTGAAGGGCTAACAGAAGCCATTCCTGTACAACACTCTTATATTACGACACCATATCGTCCACTGACCATCTCCGCTTTTTGCAACTAGTCCCAGAGTCGACAAATAATGAACGACGTGGAATCCTTCGAGAGGATATTCGTATGACATGTCCAAGCCACCGAAGTCGATGTTTCAAGATAGTGAAACCAATTATATTATCATCGCTGTGCCTGAACACACGATGCCGAACCTCTGCATTACTAACATGGTGTTGCCACTGGATGGAAGCAATCCTTCAGAGACAACGATGATCAAACGCAGAGTCGTCTAACATCCTCAACTCGGAGAGGCCAGGTTTCACAAGCATAGAGCAAAACTGCTCTCACCGACGCGATGTAGATCCGACCATTTGCAGCCAGACTAACACCACGAAGGCGACAAAGATGGTCCAGATTGGCATAAGCCGCTCTGGCTTCCGCTATACGTGAATTGAACTCATCACTCACGCCACAACCAGCACTTATGCAGCTACCCAGGGTGAGTGCAGGATCAAGGTCTTGTCAGTCTTGTAAAATCATTTTGCACTTCGAAGGTGCAAAGCACATACCATACCTACGGATACTGATTGCCAACTGATTAAGTGCGGATTACATGGTTCGGGTACCATTGCACAATAAGACAATATCATCCGTATACTCAAGGTTTGAAAGTCTTTCCAGGCAACAGGTCTGCACCACCACTACCTACATCCATCAGAGCTGTTTCTAGAACGTCTTCGGATGCAAAGTTGAAGAAGGATGGTGAAATTGATTAACCCTGTCTAACCTCACTGCTTGAATGGAACAGTGGAGAGAGGTGGTTGTGCGCCCTCACTCTACCTGAGGTGTTTGTGTATAGGGTTTTCAGGATGTCAATAAAATTCTCAGGCACACCCTTCTCCAATAGACAATATCATATAACAGCCCTGTTCAACGAATCGAAGGCAGCCCCGATGTCAAGAAACACTACGATTGTTGGCCTTTGATAAGTATGACGGTGTTCTAACATTTGGCGGAGGATGAAGATATAAACAATACAACCTCGACCAGAATGAAAACCAGCCTGCTTCTCACGAGTCAATCTTTCTCGGGTTTTAAACAACCTACGAAGTATGACAGGAGCCAATAGTTCAGACCCAATCGGAAGTAGACTTATCCCATGAGAAGTGTTGCAGAAAACAGGTGAACCCTTTTTAAAAATAGGGATAACCGTCTACTTATTCCATGATGTTACAACACTCTCTAATTGCCAGACCTTTGTAAACAACTCAGTCGGTTACTCAACCAGAAAGTTATCATCAACTTTAAGAAGAACCTGGTGATTTGTAGCGCTCCAGGAGTTGGAGTTCCTTGCGGACTTCAGCCTCATTAGGTGGATCAGTCGTCACAGGCCATAGAGAGCAGGACAGTCTGGTCGATGTCATAGGGGCAGCAGATCAGTTGAACTGTTCCTCAAAAAGCTCTGTTCATTGTCCAGGACGTCGATATATGTTAGTGATTAGTATCCCGTCATTTTCACAGATTGGCTAACTCACACTGGACTACATGCTGCCAGTGGCTCAGATGAGTTGAAAGATCTTCCGGCAGTTACGAGATGCAACTGCTACTTCCAACTCATTAGCACACTCCGACCACCAGGCTTCTCGGTACTTACGCAAGCTTTGCCCAATTTAATTACGTAACATTTATGGTCAAACTCGAGGCCACTCGGAGCAGACCGGCGGGCTTCAATGAGTTGTAAGGAGTCTCAACAAACCCGGTGTTTATAGGCGAGACGTTTTGAGAAGCCTCAAGCGACGTTACTCGCCATTTTCATGGCGTCATGCAATTGCAACCAATGCTCATCTATCCTTTTCGGTGGAATGGCAGCTAGCCCTGAACCTAGCTCGGTTTGATATTTAGTTGCAACGGAAGCTGCAACCAATTTACTGACATCGATCCGTTTAGAACGACAAATTTGTTGACCACTAAAAAGATAAAATTAGTGCAGACAAGGACATGATCTGAGTCCACATAGGTACTCCAAAAGGAGCGGCAGTCTTGTACACAACTACTCCATTGGTAGCTGATAGCGATGTGGTCATTCTGAGTCCAGGCTTGAGATGCAGAAGGAGGAAGTCAGGTAGCAGATCGGCAATGGCTCTGTTGGTAGTTAGTGCTAGTCAGAAATGGGTTGTGACTTGCGCACAGTTGCAGTAAACGGTCCCCGTTTTCTGACCTGCAACCAACAAGTCCCCATTGGCCACCTAAACGGCTTTCTTCTGTACTTAGACACCCGACATGAGCGCTCAAGTGTCCGGCTAGTACTACAATATCTGTCGAACGCACGTTCTATAGAAGAACTGTTAACTAGTAGTAGAACCCATCCTTCATAGCATCCGGGGTGCAATTTATTGGAGCTTAGGTAAAGACGACAAAAAGAAATCGTTTCTCACGCCGATTTCTTCTCACTTTGATGAAACTTTCTAATCTAACAGCACATAACCGACTGTTAATGCGGATCCAATCGATTAGTGCTGCCTCAGCTCTAGCGCTTAGTGCGACACCAACGCCAGTCAAGCAAGAAGATACCACCGAGTCCCTGGATAAACGCATGTGAAACAAGCTTTTCAAGGCGACAGATTGAGAGCGAATCCATAGTATTTCACTAGTTTTGAATAAAGATCTCGGATAGAAAACAGATATCGATATTGAGACTTTCTAAAGACATAGTCAACCCTATCTGTTGTCCGATCTGCACTAGTGTGCGAACGTTGAAGGAAGCCAGTTTGAATGGTATACATGGTGATAGCGTCAGTGACTAGATATCGTTTAAATAGGACAGGGTTTCCACCATAGGCGAGCTGATGTGTAAGTTGAAAATAAGAATACACAAAGTGCGAATAGAAGAGAGTAGATAAGTGACGTAGTATATAAAAAATCAAAATGAAGGTTACCAAATGCATGTGGATGTAAGATGTCTGAATTTTAATAGAAGCAAGAATAATAGTTCCAGTAGTAATTGTGTGGGCTGTGATACTGCTAGGGTTCCCAGATTGAAGCAGGGGATAACTACTACTTTAATCATAACATTTTAACTACATAGGCCATACAACTCACTAGAACTAAACTGTACATGTACATACATACACTTACATTGTTTTTACTCTGTACACTACAAGAGTAGGCTAGAAAATGTAAAAAAAATCTACAATGATTAATATAAGAATTGAACTCACATAGATCTAGTCTATCTCCTGTCTTTAATGAAGGTGAAGTTGTTTTAGGATCTGGTATACTACAAAATCCTCCTAATCCAGGTATACCAACAAGATTGGAAAACAAATCATTTGGAAATATCTCCGAATTCTCAACTGATAAACAAATGTTATCAGCATCGACAATAACATCTTGATATGAGGTAACATTCATTTTTAAAGTCAGCATTCTTTCTAACCAAATATGTACAATAAGATAGATCCCGATTGCACGTTGAATATGCTCACGTTCATTATTCGGTAATCTATAGATTAAATCCATATCATCACATGTCAACATTTGCATCTTATTACTACTAATAGTAGCATTAGTAGTATTTTTCGTTTTCTCGTCTGATTGCTCCAAGAATGATGAATATGGTTGTATTAACAGACGAGCATCTGTAGCTAATGTAGATAGCAGAGGAAGTGCTGACTGAATACGACGTAATTCATTTTCAAACAGGTCTAGAAATATTGCACTAATCTATTTTTGGTAGACGGAACCAAATATCAGAAAACAAAAATGTCGAAAAGTTATTTCTCCCAATATATAATACCCACATAATTAACTAATAATAAGAATTATATGATGGACGTTCATAATAGAAAAATTTCGTAGCAAATTTATTTTATTATGAAATCATATTAATTGATAAATTAACTGAATGGGAAAAATGAGGCGAAAACTATGGAAAAGCAGTGATCTTGAGCAATTGTTTGACCTTGGACATCCAATCGGAACATTGATATTTACACAAGTGAGCTTGCCTAAAAAGTTGAAAGCATACTACGCTGCATACGGAGAATTTGAATGATTGTTTGTAAACTTACCTGTAAGCTATTTATGTTTCAAATTAAACAGTTTTCGTACGAGTATTTCTTTAAATAGCTTAATGATATCGATCGTTCAAAGTACTTATATACTCTAGTAAATAATTCCATTATCAGTTACACATCCCACCAAATTGTGACTAACAAATCCGATGGTATAGCTGCACTTGCTGACAGTATCAGGTGATTCAATATACAGTTAAACCTGATGATGATCTAACTGATCCATAAGATGAATCTTCTTTATTTAAAAAAACCACATTGGAATTCTACTACGTTCAAGGGACACAATGAGTTCCCGAATCCCAATCCAGGTTTCACTGAAGCGAAAGCAACCCGAGAATTTACTAATGATTGTATACAGACTAGTAGATAATCTAAAAATCATTAGAAATCTTTACGCCGTAAAATTCACTCTAATGTAAAAACACCTAAAAGACATGCGTTTAATTAAACAAACCTTTTAAAAATTAGCGGGAACTCTAGAGAATCAAAAACCGAAAAGGTAATTTCCTTTAGACTCAAAACAATGTATCTATAGTTTTTCTAGTATTGAGTTAGAATTGGTTCGATTAGAGTCTTCTTTGCTTCTCATTAGGAGAGGTTGCCAGGCCTCATACCACGTTAGTTGATAGTTATCAACAATACAACAATAGCAAATATGCCACTAAGCGTACGCTAAATAAGCAACATGAGGGCGCTTTAACACAGCTAAGCAAAGATTGTACCTTAGCCATAACTAAGGCACATAAGAGAGTCTCAGCTTCAATGAACAAAGCGGAAAACATTGATAAAATGAATTTGATGCTTAATGATCTTCGAGAACTTATTGATATCGAAAACATCAATGAAAAAATAGGCTAACAAATGGCTAGTTCTGTCAGAAAACTTAAAACGAATGAGGATAATTTTGTCTGAGATTTATGATTCACGTAACCAACTAGATTAAACACACCACAACTTAACGGTCTACCTAAATTTTAGAAGTCGGGTCTTTTTCTCTGTTCAGCTCTAAATGCATACAATTCTCTATATCGAAAATCGCTAACTGGTTAGTTTGAATCCTAGAGCCTCTGAACAAATCAGTCGTAAAAAGAAGCGTTAATGGCGTTCTTGACTTCATTTCCGAAGTGGAAGAAATGAATGTTAGTAAAGAAAAACATTATTTCTCTAAACGTTATATCTTTATTTACCACTGTACTACTACTAATCAAGAAAGTAAACAAATATTAGAAAGACAAAACAGTGCCCCCCTTGAGGATAGTCTAAAAGAACTATTCCTAATATGTTTGATGAACGGTCATTTTGTCGGCAACAATATTTATAATGGGAAAAATCGACGGGATAGCTATGAGTTCACCACCGGACCCTATTTCAGTCTATTGCTTCTTAAAAAATTTAGAAAACAGACCCCTCAATGAGGTTGTCGACAAGTCAGATCTATACTACCGATACATTGACAACGCACTTATTATCGTAGATCAGAATATTCACAGAGAACTCCTAAACCAGTTTAACAGTGTATATCTGGCACTGGTCGGGACGAGTGTGACAATGAATCAGATTTCCTTGACATTTCATTAAGTAGATAAAGTGAGGGTTCATTAAGCAGAAACTTGCAAAGAAAAATTTTCCCGTGTCAATACACACCCATCTACTACAAAAGAAATCTAGTTCGATGTCTCACAAGCAGAGCAAAAGATATCTTAGATGACACCATAAAGGAGTTGGAAAATATTAATAAGCTGACGGACATAGGATACCAGAAGTTCTTTTAAAGAAGTACATATATAGAAAGAGAAACAAGTTGGAGATATGAACCGATAGTAAGAAACCCCTTTTCCTAAAGCTACAATTCAACTGGATTATGCCTTGCGACATACTGCATAAAGCATTAGCGATGATAGTTAAATGAACATTTCACGCAACCAATCATAGATTAGCATGTCCTATTAAACCAGTGATATCTACTCAAAGTATAAGTTCTCCTCTACGATGTCCATCTATAAATTCAGCTGCTCCTGAAGAGATGGCTATATTGGACAGAGTACTAGGCAACTTAACTAACGAACGAGTGAACATCTTCCATCTTGACTTTGAAAGGACCAGATGAAGATAATACGCAATTCTACCATGCCACAACTGTTTGACAGTGGTCATAAGGCAGATAAAACTAAATTATTTCAGCTGATCTATCGTATACCCTCGTCGTTTCCCAATGAGATTTGATCACGTCTTCCATATATAACAGAGGCAATAGGGATCTGAACCTAGTTCATGTGTTCAGACGAAATTAGTGATACACCTGTCCCATCTTTAGCTGGGTATGATGACCTAATAAATGACTTTTTTCACATCCTGTATGTGTTTTTTCACCTCCTTTCACTTATATACTTCACTACCCAATTACTCATGTAATTCTTATTACGTAATTTTAGTCGTGTTTTGTGATTATTATTTTGGAGTCTATTTATCCAAGTTTGATTTCATGTATTGAACTAATGAATGGAACCTTTGTTATTTTATTATTCTTAACGGTACTAGTACACCTGTCCTATCATCACCAATTTGTAACTTTTACCTATAATATATAGTTATGCAATCTATTTCATTATAACCATTGACTAATGCTGAGAATTCGAAATTGTACTAAATATATGGTATTGAATAAATTCATTATTATTACCATTACAAATTACCTTGCTTGGTCTAACATTTTCATATAACCAAAATAGATTATGAATTGTTAGGTCTTGTCTATCAGAAAGGTTGATATTTTCAAACCCAGTCAACCTGAGATATGAATCAATTTTGAATGTTTAGTTATGGAATATATATATATATAATCAATTAAGAAATGATAGCGTCAAATAATCGAACTTGTCAAACGTCAACGGACAAAGTGAGTGATACCTATTTAAAACATGATTTAGGTGTTTAATCACGAAATGACATTAGTGAGATGTCTGAGATTCAATGTATTACTGAAAAACTGTTTCATTCTAGTCTGTGACTTCATAACAATGACTACTTTCTCAAACCTCTACATGGAACCTGAGCGTATTAATGTAAAGGAGAGAAAAACGTCCATTTTTTCCGTTGAAAATTCACACAACATTTGTATGGAAAAAAGTTAGCATAAAAATGTTAAATACTTAATGTGATTAATAATTGATCATAAGGAAGGATACTAGAAGTGAGTAATCTGCTTTCTCATTCCACGTTTAATACAAATAAAATATATTCATTAGGAATATGGTATCAAAATTACAACCAGTAGATTTTCAATGAAATTAAACTATCCAGTGGGAATGTTAGCTGTTTATATACTATGTAGTTTGCTTCAACAGAACAATTATTTAGATTTTTGAGAATATCACATTAATGTTAAGGTATGATTTAGTTTGTATATCATGTAAGTTTTACGTAAATTTTACTTGAAATCAGAGAACTACATAACGTTTTCCAGATTGCAACATCTGGATATCTAGATAATTAAAAAATTGAATAGAAACCAAATCCTACCACGTGTCTACAACGTTTTTTGACATCTAATAAGCAATAGACGGCGTCTCTACATTAATGGTACAATATTCGTCTACTGATCAATTCTCAGATATCAGTGCAAAATATCAATTCAGGTTAAACTGGCAAATATTCCTGATTATTTTTTATAACATATACAGTTAAATTAGCTATCCGTTGCAGTGGTAACTGATGGTATATTTGGAGCGATAATCTCTTGTTAATTCCTAGATCGAAATCACGAAACAATACTGAATGCTCCCACATCCCAAAAAAGACAATGGCTTTATCAGAAAAAACACGGTCAAGTTAGGGCAACAGATATTACTCATGAGGCTTGTGACCAAATATACTAGTTTGTAGATGTTTCTTCCACCGGTTTCACCACACAGTCGTTTTAATGTCACTGTCTCGAGACCGGCACCACAGAACTCCTGGTCTAGAGTACATATCATTTTTGTATTTAGTTAACTCATTCTCAAAATGATCATATTAAGTATATCTTATTCTGTTGATAAATGAGATAATCTTTCAGACTCAAAATAACACACTCTTGCAAATTCTCCAACAGTAGTAGATTCTAGTTTATTAGACAGGTCATGGTCCGATTGTCAAGAATACTTTAAACGATACGTTGAACATAACGGAGTATGTGACAAACATTAGAATTTTATCCAAAGTATTCGTAAAGACCATTTTATTTTCTCAAACCTTTGAATAACCAATATTCAAAATATCTAACAATCAAACACACCGGTCAAGGAAGCTACAATACAGATAGAACTGGACAGTATGAATGATCAAGCCTCCCAGATTTCTATGGATTGTACAAAATACGTAAAACAAAGAACGATACGCTAGCTTCAAAATTACCCTTTTAAAAAATCAATCATATGCCATCTTTCGAGATACAGAAGAACTCAATGTAGCAAGGTACAGATTTAGAAAACATATATTGAGAAACGAATATTTTTGGGGTTAACCCACTAGGACCAATAATGACTTCGTTCAAATACTCTTGTCTTTCTAATGAACAAAACGACCACATACGAGTAAATGTATAAGTTATCAATACTACCATTTTAACTTGGTAAATGATACATGTACACGATTAGATAATCAATAATGAATTGAAAGTAATCAAATATTTACGCTGATAAGTTAGTCATTTGGTTTTAATGTTGAATACAAATTCAGTGGTAAATTTGACCATCGTACAAATGTGGAGATTTACAAAACAACGTTAGATACTACTTAGGACGATAGTACGATTGATTTCTAGAAAAAACGTCTGATCAACATTGTTCGTACTGTAAAATACATTCAGTGATAGTTAGCATTGAAATGTAAAATGAATGTTTCTTGTATCTAATTGACTGAATACACCTGAACTGAACTGAAAACTGAACACTCTCACAAGAAACAATATAGTTCACTAAGCAATATGAAGCCGAAAAAAAATTGAGTCCGATATTAATGTTATCAAGGTACCAGCTTTACGTAATCAGTTTCAAGGCATGGATTTTATGTGCAATGATGGCTCGGTGATGCTATCTATGACCTTACAAACTGAAGTAGAGATGAAGCGAAATTAAAACATCTAAATCGGTGGTTGAAAGTCAAGTACTTCAACTACTAGGTCACTATTTCACTATAGTGAATATGAATACGTCCTATCAAATTTTATTTTAACCTCATTTTTTAGTAAAAAAATATTCATAGCAAACATATACTACAAAATATTAATTTATATACATATAGCAAGAATACCTCAAAATAATTCCTTAATACAAGCATCGCTTCTTCGCGAGCATTAATAATTTCAGCGAAATGTTGATCGGATAATTGACAACCACAATTGACGCTATATACTAAGTCTGTTAGCAAACGAATAGCCATTCGGACAGTTATTAAACGAATACGACTTTCTGTAATTTGAAAAATAAAATACAGAAGCATAGAATGCATAGGAAAGGTTAACTTAAAGAAAATCTAACCATATTAATATCAAGCTTTTAACATGCTGTACTTCGCCATTCTATATAAACACAATTGATCGTCTATTTTTAAAAAGCAACCAGTAATAATACTGGTCTAGGGATATTACTTATCTGGTTAGATGAGATGGACGACTTAGACAAGTGGACAGTAGGATGACATCGACGTAAACCTTCAATTAGCTTCATTCATTAAAATTAACAAGTTTATTGTGAAGTGTCGATTACTTACTCCTGTTACACCTAGTGGAGCATAGGCCGCAAGTGTTATATATAATCTACCGAAATGTATATTTTAAGGCATTATTTGTGTTACAGTGTTAAAAAACATTTTCGGGAGAGAACCAGTTAGTATTACAACATAAATACATGTTATTAGTGACGTGAACATTTTATCATAGTGCATCCATTTAAGTACATAAAAAATAATACGAGAAAAGTACATATTTAAACACATCCCAATCCATTCTAATGGATTTATATAACTGGGGAGCGTACGGTGAGATTTTTGTTGATAAAACTGATGAAAATAAACCCTAAAATATAAGTTGGTTGCCTAAAAATCGTCTCCTCCTTCGGCTAATTCATTTACTTCAAGTTACTAGTACATTAAAGCCTTATAATTTAAAAGTATAATTTAAAGCCTTATAGACTAATAGTGCATGGAATATCATTGAATTAATGGTATTTGATGTGTGGGCGAGAATGATAATGATTGCTTGTCTGCTTAGTCAGACATGTAGATAGTCTGACAGGTGTCAGATGAGTTATGTATTCCCCTATCCTTATAATAATTATTATTGATTGTTCATTATTGTTGGATTGTGTCGGGTTTTGGTGTGGAAATATATTTACGTCCTAGTCAGGCTAAATAACGTGTTGTTGATCTGAGATGTGTTGAAGTACTTTAGAATAGACACTGGAAGGGAATCTAATGTAGATATTCGTTTAAGGTAAATTAACGTGCCATACGTGTAAACGTGGAAATCCAACCGTTATAACAGTTTTTTAGGTTTAGACTAAATCGATAATGTACAGATGTACTTCTTCGACTATTAATCAAGAACCAGACATAAATAACAAAAACATAATAATAGTAGGAAGAATTCATTTACAATATCAAAGTAGTCCATTAATATCTGAACCTTCTGATTGTGTCTATCACAACTTACATTGTCTGGATACATTATACTCAAACATCAACACTTTTTACTGAACAAGAATCAAAAAATGATTATCTAGTTTCATTTGCTAAACACAAAGTATATTGAGAGTAGTTTAAACAGTTTTATTACAATCGACTCCTTCTATCGTAAGTAATAAACTCCCATTTGTAGTTGAACATTCAATAGTCTCACCTACATATACAAATCATATCATACATTCAACACGGAAAGACATTCTAAAAAACCGAATTAACAAAATACTTATGTATACTTTCAATTGGCATTCCTAAATATATCAATTATGAAGTAGACCAATCAAATTTGGAAATCCTTACATCAAATATGTATATGGTCAATTACACAGAAACAATAGGTAGTGATTCAGAAGACACCTACACATACACAAGCATTCTATTTAGTGACGAATTACTGCTACCCTATAAGAAGTGCAGAGGATGTGAAACGAAAATCAGTAAATACGAAACAGTGAAATAATGTCAAAAAGTACAAATAAACTGTTGATATACGAGAAGAAAGTATAGAAAACAGTGAAATAGAATAGATGACTTCTTAAAAACTCCAGTAGCACAACCATCTACATTAACAAAGATTAAATAAGTGAGCAGTAAAAGAAACGGTAAACCAATATGCACCATTCACTGTAATTGATGTTGCAATTTTAAACAGTGATTTATATGCCAAATTCATGAGTATTTATGAAATTTTCAAACGATATTTTGTGTGAGGAGGAGAGAACTACTGTTACTACCCGCATCTTAGTTCAACTAAGAGTATGTATGAAGGGGTTTGCACCTGTAACCCAATGACTGAGACTAGATCGATTTAACCACTGAGATATCGACGAAAACATGAAGCAATAAAGTAAAAAAAAAATGAGCACGGGAGAATGAATGTTGATAATATTGAAAATTCCAAAGATGAAATGTATGTCCAACCACACAATCTATATAGCAGATTGTTAGTTATCCTAACGATGGGATTAAAAACCAATCGTATTATATCTCGATATTATGCACACAACCACATCCGATACAATATCGACATTTCATATCATCATATGCATGTGTTGGGAACACTTCGTGTCATGCATCAGTCGATGAAGACGAGAAATTCTCTACATTGATTGAGACGGCTTGCATACTTATGTAGTAATTCATCGTGGTATCCGACTATGAAATGATGAGATTACATAGCATAAAATAAGGATGATCACTTCATGATCTAACTCAAAATGTAAGCCTTCTACAAGTTAAACCTTTTTATCGACTAATTTTTATTGTGTACTTTTCGACATCGCATTCATTTAGTTGGCCTCCTGCTATTATTATGTCGTTAAATGTGACAACCTGAACTGAAACACTTGTGTGAAGGTCCTGACATATCTGTCTGCCTATCATTGTTATTTCCAAGAATTTCAACAGACATTGTTGTCACTTACTAGTTCAAATGTTGTCATTCTATTCAGACAATCGACAGTAACTATGCTTAAAATTTATACAGTGCATAAATGATGTAGTCTATTCATTACTAAAATGAATAATCATTTCAAACATGATCATCAGTGAACACGAAGAAAATATACTACCATGATTACAATGTAAATAAACACATATTTTCATACAAAATTTAATGAAATATCAAAACAGTAACTATTTGCTCACCAGCTTTACATGCGTCACCAATTAATTCAATAAGCTTTGTGACAAGTGTATAATTATATGATGGTTCATTTTTCTAATATTCAGGACAGAAAGACAAGAGGGTAGAAAATATAGACAACCAAAAATATTATACTAAAATTAGAAGCAATTTCTAAATAAAATGAATTATAGCTGGTATTTCTTGTCAATCAATGTATGTTTGTAATGTAAATTCATCCAGTAATGAATAAGGTGAAGAATAATTTCACCATATATTCACATCAATCGTAGAAATATCGGCAGTAAAGAACCAGTGAAGAGCTGTTTTACATCGTAGTTTAGAAATAATATCAATAGTGCACAACCATATCGTCATACGGTGACTCGAACACATGAGATCTTTAGGTTTCTTGACGGGCATAACATTGTCAAATTAAAAATCTGGCAGTTATCGATCCACATTCGGATGTGTATATCTCAGTCGATAATTGTTCGTAACCTCATCAACTGATTTTCCAAATGTTCTGGTATGGCCGAGAGTGAAGTGTGCCCGCTCTCCCCCTCGAAATACTCTCACACGGCCACACGTATACAGCCTCTGCCAGGGAAGTCCTACTCACTGCTTACTCGTAGCAGGGGTGTTGGTTACGAAATTGAGAGGACGAAAAACGAATGTCCGGCGCTATAAGCGAATCCCAAACCAATGGTGCACATGGTTTGGACTCCAGTATCCAGAGGGAACACAAAGCGTATGAACCAATTTTTGGTCACCAGCTACCGTTGGACTGCATCTCGTCACGATGCTCCACTGCCTTGTGGGTTAGACCTTTAGGTCAAAGGCTCGGGGTATGGCCCCCTAAGAAAACCACCTGCTTCGGTCTGGGCACCCTGGCAGTATCACAGCCCACACACAAATAAAATTTTGTGTGGCGTATATATATTTGGTGCCCTCTTGTACCAATATTTATGTGTTCAAATAAATAAAATAATAAATAAACATCTCTACCTGATAAGCCCAGAACTAACCATTCAGTTGTTCCACCAAACTTGACTGATGCATTGAAGATATCTTTGCTAAAATACTACCAACATATACATGTCCTTTTTTGTTCATAGTTGTACAATAAAAAAGAACAAATTTGGATTATTTTTTTTAAAATAAAAATGTGTCGAAGCCCGTTCATTTTCCCATACATAATACACTTCATAATAAAATTTCATTGGGAATTCAAAATGACATAATACTGTAAATGACATGTTAGTTTTTAGTATAAACTTTAATCTATCATAAATAATTAGTAATTAATAATTGTTTTTTCATATTACTCAATACTGTCGTAAGCCAAGGTCAATAATGTTTATTATGAAGGGATCGATCGACCATCAAAATAGAATATAAGTCAAGTTAGCACTGATAACACAACAAATATTTAGCTACTAATGTAGTATTGTACATAAATAAAAGAAATTCAATGTATATTTGTATTTTTATGAACAAGTCTCATAAAGCAAGTTAACAAAAACCGGTAGATATTTAAAAATAATCAATTAAGAAATTAAAGCCAGAGTATATACCTATCAACTTAAATGGAATAATGGTAACTGACGAAATTTTAGTACATATAAAGAAATTCCACCTGGCTTTTTTCAACTTGGCCCAGTTGTAGTACAGGCGAATTATTGGTCTGTCTATTAAATGATGAGTACACTGTACGGTGGTTCAGATTTTATGACTTAGTGTATGTGAAAAACAAACTACAAAGGAAAAAAGACATGCATATGTTGATAGTATTATAGCAAAGATATCTTCAAAGCATTAATCAAGTTTGGTGGAACAACTGAATGGTTAGTTCTGGGCTTATAAGGTAGAGACGGAAAATCAGTTAATGAGGTTATGAACAATTAGCGACTGAGATACACACATCTAGCGATTATCCACTTGAATGTGCTACACTGATTAGCGTAAGAAGTTGTAAAAAAACGTTGAAGGTGACTAGATGAAGCTATTGGTTGTTGAACTGAGCTGTGTCAGACGTTAGACTTCCTGTTTAGAGTACAATAGATAAAGGTAATGGTCTGTTGAAGATCTTAAACTACATAGTTTGAAGCCCCCAAATGCCCTGGTACCGTCGAGAGTGGGGAGGGTTCGCCCTCCATCTCGAAATGCTCTCACATGGCCACGCGTACATAGCCCCTGCCAGGGAAGTCCTACTCACTGCCTTCTCGTGGCATTACTGTTGTTTACAAAAATGAGAGGACGAAAAGCGAATGCCCGGCGGTTTAACCGGACCCCAAACCAGTGGTGCACATGGGCTCCAGTATCCTGAGGGAACAAATGGCGTATGAACCAATTTTTGGTCACCGGCTACCATGGGACTGCATCTCCTCACGATGCTTCACTGCCTTGTGGGTTAGACCTTTAGGTCAAAGGCTCGGGGTGTGGCCCCCTAAGAAAACCACCTGCTTCGGTCTGGGCACCCTGGCAGTATCACAGCCCACACACAAATATAATGAAAATAATGATCTTCTCTGAAAACTCTGTTCACGCCGCGATTTATCGTCAAACAATTAACATTATTATTATTATTATTTACCACGTCATTTATTTACTCTATTTTACTCCCACCTTATGTATCCTTATTTTTCGACTTATACAGTAGCTCGCCTATGGTGGACATTCGGCTCTATCTAAACGTTCTCGAGTCACTGCCTGGTTGAAAATTGTATGTTACCATCGAATAAGAGTACTGAAGCAGTCTTTCTGAAACCACGTGCACCATTCAAACTGGCTGCCTTCAACGTTCGCACACTTATGCAGGTTGGACAACAGATAGGGTTGGCTATGTCTTTGGAAAGTCTTAATATCAACGTCTGTTGTCTATCCGAGACCCGTATTCAAGACTCTGGTAAAGTAATACAAATTCGCTCTCCATCTGTCACTTCAAAAAGCTTGTTTTATGTGCGTTTATCCGGGGACCCTGTGGCATCTTTGTCTGGTCTTGCTGGCGTTGGTGTCGCACTAAGCGCTAGAGCTGAGGCAGCACTAGTCGACTGGATCCCCATTAACAGTTGGTTATGTGCTGTTAGATTGGAACGTTCCATCAAAGTGAAAAGAAATCGGCGTGAGAAACGATGTCTTTTCGTCATCTCCGCCTATGTTCCGACAGATTGCAGCCCGGATGCAATCAAGGATGAGTTCTACCACCAGTTAACTGTTCTTCTCCAGAAAGTGCGTTCGACAGATATTGTAGCACTAGCCGGAGACTTGAATGCTCAGGTCGGGCGTCTAGGCACAGAAGAGAGTCGTTTAGGTGGCCGATGGGGACTCGTTGGTAGCAGGACAGATAACGGGGAACGTCTACTGCAACTGTGCATAGATCACAACCTGTTTCTGGCTAGCACTAACTTTCGGCACAGTCATCGCCGATGTGCCACCTAGCGTCCCTCTTCCGCATCTCTAGCCTGGACTCAGATTGATCACATCGCGATCAGCTACCGCTGGAGTGGTTGTGTACAAGACTGCCGCTCCTTTTGGAGTACCTATCTGGAATCTGATCATGCTCCAGTCTGCGCCAATCTCACCTTACTTTTCAGTGGATAACGAAGTGACTGCCACCAAAGGATTGATGTTAACAAGCTGGTTGCAACTTCTGTTGCTAGTAAGTACCGAACCGAGCTAGCTTCTAGGCTAGCTATCATTCCACCGAAAAGTACAGGTAAGCATTGGTTGCAATTGCATGACGCCATGAAAATGGCGGGTACAGTCTGTTGTGGGTCCGCGAAACGTCCCGCTTATAAGCACTGGGTTTCTTCTGGTTCCTCACAACTGATTGAAGCCCGTCGGTCTACTCCGGGTGGCCGTGAGTTGGACCACAGACAAAGGATGTTACATAACGAAATCGGGCAAAGCTTGCGTAAGGACCTAGAAACTTGATGGTCGGATCGTGCAAATGAGCTGGAAGCAGCAGCTGCATCTGGTAACTACCGGGAGCTCTTCCAACTCATTCGAGCACTGGCAACAAGAAGTCTGGTGTGAGCGAAACAATCTGCGAGGATGACGGAACGCCAATCACCAACATCCATCGACGTCTTGGACGATGGGCAGAATTTTTCCAAGGGCAGTTCAACTGGTCTGCTGCTCCGGCAACATCGGTCAAACTGTCCTGCCCTCCATGGCCGGTGACGACTGATCCACCAAATGAGGCGGAAGTCCTCAAGGAACTCCAACTCTTGAAACGTTACAAATCACCGAGCCCAGATGACTTACCTCCGGCTCTTTTTAAAGATGGTGGTGACTTTCTGACAAAGGGACTGACGACGTTGTTTACAAAGGTCTGGGAACTAGAGAGTGTACCAACGTCATGGAATGAGTCGATAGTTGTTCCTATCTTTGAAAAGGGTTCACGTCGTTCCTGTAACAACTATCGGGGGATAAGTTTACTTCCGATTGCGTCCAAGCTATTGGCTTCCGTTATACTTCGTAGGTTGTTCAAAACCCGAGAAGGATTGACTTGCGAGGAGCAGGCTGGGTTTCGTTCCGGTCGAGGATGTATTGATCAGATTTTTACCCTCCGCTAAATGTTAGAACATCGCCATACTTATCAAAGGCCAACAATCGTAGTGTTTCCTGATATCAAGGCTGCCTTCGATTCGTTGGATAGGACTTTTTATTGCTGGGATTGTCTATTGAAGAAGGGTGTGCCTGAGAATTTTATTGACATCTTGAAAGCCCTATATACAAACACCTCAGGCAGAGTGAGGGCATACAACCACCTTTCTCCATTATTCCATTCGAGCAGTGGGGTTAGGCAGGGTTGTCCAATCTCACCATTCCTCTTCAACTTTGCCATCGATGACATTCTGGAAACAGCTCTGATGAACGTAAGTAATGGTGGTGTGGATCTGTTGCCTGGAGAAAGACTTCTCGACCTTGAGTATGCGGATGATATTGTCTTACTGTGCGAGAATGCCCAAGCTATGCAATCCGCACTTAATCAGTTGGCGCCTTCGTGATGTTAGTCTGGCTGTAAAAGGTTGGATCTACAACGCGTCGGTGAGAGCAGTTTTGCTCTATGCTTGTGAAACCTGGCCTCTCCGAGTTGACGATGTTAGACGACTCTCTGTGTTCGATCATCGCTGTCTCCGAAGGATTGCTTCCATCCAGTGGCAACACCATGTTAGTAATGCAGAGGTTCGGCATCGTGTGTTCAGGCACAGAGACGATAATGCGATTGGTGTCACCATCTTGAAACACCGACTTCGGTGGCTTGGACATATTCTACGAATGTCGTCCCAGAGAATTCCTCGTCGTGCACTATTTGCCGACGCTGGGACTGGTTGGAAAAAGCGGAGAGGTGGTCAGTATATGATATGGTGTCGTGGTATGAAAGAAAGCTGCAAAGGGCAGGCTTCTGTTGGTCCTTGACGACTCCCTTGCTGGAGTCCGAGAGATGGTGCAACACAGTGGCTAGAAACGTTATCAGATATGGCTCAGAATAGAAGTCAGTGGCGATCCTTCTGTAACCTTGTTTTACTTTCTTCATAAAAAGTGGCTGTATCCTCTTTAAATGTAAGATTTCTTCTGAGTGTACCTTTTCGTCTCCCCCATTATTGTTCTTTTTTTTATTTTATAATCCCCTTCGTTCCTTACTTTTTTTTCCCTTCTTAAATTCTCATTGTTTTGTTTGGCGCATATATATTTGGTGCCCCCCCCCCTGTACCAATATTTATGCGTCCAAATAAATAAATAATAAATACATAGTTTGAAACCAGTTGAACCAGAGCAAAACTATTTATTATTCACCTCCCTTTATATCTCAAGTCTTAGCATTATTTCATACTTTCCATTCCCCGATTTTGAGTTCTTTTCAAACTATATATTTGGCTCTCCATATTATTTCCGTTTACATGTTTCCTTTATTTTGTTAACGTCATGTCTAGACATACTGTTATAAGGTGTAACAACTTGGACCGATTCACATCTATGCCAAATGGCCTAAGTTACTAATGAACTACGTTGCAGTCTTAAGAAAACACGTGTTCCAAATAAGACTCAACTGAACAACTGTTGATTTACAAGAGACGCAACTGATTCGGTGTATTCTAAATCGATAAACAGCGGAAATTCACTTCAATCGTTGCTTTTCAATAGTCCATGATGATATGGGAAGATTACATGGATGATAGCATTTCCGTTTGAAGAAATGTATGCATTTGTTCCCAGCTTTCAACTAAGGATGATAATGGTGATATGTGATATTCACTAAATACAATATACTAAAGGTATCGATGGCCATATAACATTGAGGTCAGACTTTGTGGTCGACAAACTCTAATCACCAATAAAACAATAGGAACAAATTGTTTATATAGGATTTCTTAATTCTTCTCCAATTATAAAAACCTACATATTTCATATATGTGGGAAAAGTTGTAACTTTTGAAGTCATAAGTTGAATGCATCGATTTTAAAGTTATTATACTTGTTGATAACATTGTTTATTTTAGATATTTTACGAGGTATAAAGAAAATTCCGATATATTTTAGGTAATATCAAATTCCATGTGAAAGAGATTTATAAAATAATCAAAATTAATAATGTATACTTTTATAAACTTACTATATCGGGACCGTTCAATTGGGCAAGTTTCAAAGTAGCCGAATCAACACCTAGGATAGTTTTTAAATACGAAAAAATACATTCCAGAGTGAAAATGTGAGCAAAAGAGAAACAAGTACACATACACATAAACTTTAATGTAGTTCCATACATATGCAATGAAAAGACAAACTAGTACATATGTATATTGATTCAAGTTGTTACAGCACGCAGCTCAACAAAATGGAATTACTAAGATGAAAACAGAATTAATACTAGTAGTAGTAGAAAAAAAATTATGTATGACGAGTATGATTCGAAAAATATTTTGCGGAATAAAATGTATAAAATAATTTAGAGATTCAGTCAGTCAAGATCTAAGGGAACATGAAAAACAAATATAGAGAGGGATTCTGAATCATATCATCTGATGTTTTATACGAATGGCTAAGACAAACGCACGGACTCCAACATGACAGTGCACCTACCAACATAACTCTGACTAATAGTTAGTGATTGTTTGGACTGATGCCATGTTTTAATTTAGCCTTGCTAGTTAACCTTTACAAAATATAATCAACATAGCTCAAAATATCGTCATGCTTAAAAATAAAGTAACCAAGACGATCTAACACTAAAAGAACTTTGCTCTTATAGATTCCCAAACATGAAGCTTTTTACGTAGAAATATGAGTATGCATTGCACTATATCTAAATTAAACCAAAGAAACAACTATCCCGATGATCTGTTTGCTCTGACTACATTATGATCACCATTTTCCGCTAACTTCGCTATCATTGAACTTCGTGGTAAAATTACATAAACAATAATTCTTTATTAAACAACCACTCAACAACCAATCCCATATGTCATGGGAAAGAGAAGTAACTTAGTCACTGACTTTAATATAATAACTGACACGTCAATGACTATGTTGCTGAAAGATCTACTAATACAATATTATATTTAAAAAGTAGGTTACAAAAATAGTAACAAGAATATGACAATATGACAATAACGACCATTTGTCACTCAATGTAAACGCATTCATTCTTTTATTTTGACCAAAAATATACAATAAATTATTTTATTTTAATTGTAAACGAAGTAAAATTGTATCTATGACTTAAATATGAGTTATGTACAAAGCGGTTTATAGAATGACTTGGATAGATTTAATGAGACTTAGTATTCGAATCAACAATAAGGAATAAAAAACCCATTGAACAGACATGAAAACAAAAGAGTATTCTTTAATTGTCAAGTATCTCAAAAATAATTTAATAAACACTTTCACGGGAAATAAAACCTTCGAAGAAAACGTGTTTTTTCTATGATAGTTTAAAATAACGTTTAAACATTGTTATATAACTTAAGCTATGTGTATACAATACAAAGACGTATTCAAATGCAAACAGAAAAATAATACATTCACTATATACTAAGTCAACAACGTAATCATCTTTTTAATTAATTGAAATATACAGTCACATTTCCTATTTAATATATGCATATAAAGAAGAATTTAGATAAAATGCTGTAATGAACATGAAGCAAAAATATAAACCCATTGATGTAAATTAACTTTAAAAATTGGGTTAATGTACAAAACATTCAGTGCAATGACTGATGATCCAATCTAGCTACTTTAATTAAAACAAGTAGAGAATAGTTAGAACTTACAACTCAGTAAAACAAAATCAAATTTTAATGAATACAACAATGAAATATTGCTAACAACCGAATGAATAGCAAATCATATGATAAAAGTAAGTTACATAAGGTAATGATGAACATATGCTGGGTATAAAATTAATGATACCAAGTATTTTTAAGAGTCCCATACTAATAAAGCTTGTGATTTCCTATACCTGATAATGTGAAAACAATTAATCAGCCTCAATTATCACTAAGTAAGAAGCATTTAAACTTCAGTGTCATTTTAAGCACCAACAATTACTGTGTCTAAACATCGATAAATATGGTGAAATTCGTCCGTCGGAATCCAGATAACGAGGAAATAACGATGAAAAATTTCCGAAACTCAAATGGGTTGGGTTGATAATCATAGAACCTGGCACATATGTGCATCGGTTCAAGTTGTCATATCACTTCAACACAGTGAGGTATCAGTGTAGTGTAGGTAGTAACAGTATTAGTGGTAGCAGGAAATATTAGTTATAGAATATAGCATTCAAGAAAAAAACATGAATTCATCGAATGAAAACCATTGTAAGATAATCGAGAAACTTGTAATCTAAGGGAAGATAAGTAGTGAATACATTTGAACCATTGCGGATGATCCTGAGTTATCAGTCAAAGTCTCTAACCACTGGTCACCACTATAATTTCACTGACTTCATTCAGGTAGTCTGAAACTGTCAACAGGGCTCAGTTCAAAAGTCGGTGTCTTCACGGGCTAATTCTATGTTCTTTTCATTTGTACATTAAATTCATTAACTGTGACCTGATAATGTCTGTCATCAAACGATTACCAACTCAAAACCTAACCAGTTGATTAACAATCCCATCAATAACCAAATGTATGGATTCCAATTTTCATGATTGAATAAAATTAGGATTATTTTATTTCTTATTTAAAAATATGAAGAGGAAAGAAGAGAGAAATAATCCTATATAGAAATGTATCTCTGTTTAATTTTTTCACAAGCTACAATAGTAGATCATAAAAAATATATTAAAATGAACAAGAATAAAAGAAAAATATGAAATTCGTGCGCATAAAGAGGTAGTGGTTAACAAAAATAACATCAATATACAGAAGCCAAGAACAAATATTTCTATGCTATTGTGATAGATTACTAACTTCTGATTTGAATGGTCAATGACTTCAGGAATCTATTATTTAGCTTGACGATGACCACGTCAGAGATATTTTACATTTCATCTCAACTTTACTTACAATACTGTATCAAAATAAACGACAGTTTAACCTGATACCTCAGAGGGTGAATACTGAATATAACTGAATATACTTCTAACAGATTTACCTATAAATTTTATACTAATGGAGTTACAGTTATAAGAAGATTCAATTTCGAAGTTTATTCTGATAGGATCTATCAATTGCTTTTTAGGCTAAGATTTGGAAATACGAAAAGAAAAACCTTTTGGGGTAGAAAAAAGAGACGTAACACCTCACCTTTATTTGATTTTATAGCGAATAAAAGGAGAATAGAGAATATAGCATCTTGGTCTGAACCGGAACCGATTTCCAAAGAACGAAATAAAGATCTTAAAAAAACACGGCCAGATAGATTTGATAAGTCAGCATCGATTGTTTTATTATTTTGTTCAAAAACGACTGATGAATTAGATGATGAATCTTCAATTTTAACTGGGGATTTTTCAAGAGAAGATACATCTAAAAGAAAACAATTAAGAAACAAATAAACGTTTATAAAATTGTTAATTTACAGTAAAACCTGTAATCAAGTCACAAGGTCATAAATACAGGATGACAACAGAGTTAAATGTTATGTTCTTGAACAACACATGACTAAAATTTGTTGAAGACTTAGAGATAATTGGTCAGCTAATTAGTTATGAACAACATGGAACCATATATATATATATATATATATATATATATATATTTCCATAATTTACATAAATTCAACGAGGCAGGAATTTAAAAAAAACCGCGAAAGATGATCAGCCGAAATAATAATAGCCATAATAATAGTGCCAATGTAGTAGAAATGCGGTATATGCTACTTATGTCTGTCGACATAAGTAGTATGTAACACCAGGAGTGGAATGCCTGGCAGCAGAAGGTTAAGAAGATCGAATCGAGAGAATGGCAATGTACACAGAGAATAATTGTAATAGCAATGAAGGAACGATGTAGTTTGATACAGATGATGGAGGATTTGCGAATGAGATATTTAATGTGTGGTTTTCACATTTTATGAAAGGACTGTAATTTTGTATTAAATAATAAATTGGTTGCCTCTACATGAGTGTTCATTCACTGCAGAATAAACATAAGAAATATAATAATTCTGGAAGAAATGAGTTAGACTATTTAACTGAAATAACACTAAAAATTAGAACTTAAAAGTACATGGAGAATGAATTCCATTTGATCCACAGTCACCAATTTCGAGTTATATTACCAAAGGATTTTAATTATAGACTATTAACTATCTCTTGGATCACATTCATGAGCTTTGCACCTACTAACAAAACTCATATCAACTCTCAGTGAAACCATGGATTGGTGTGAGTTCTTGAGATTGTTTATCATTAGCCTGCTTCCGATGTACTACTCTACTAGCCAATATATATCACCAAACAGTAGGTGGTGACTACAACTCCGGAAAACTCACTTAACTTCTCGTGATTAATTATCGTATTCAAATAAGGTCATAACTGACGTTATACAACATTGGAATATGTGAAAACATTTTGATGAGTAAATAAAAAAATTTATCCTGTCTAGGGTTTCTTTAAAACTACCTAACCCCCCATCCTAAGATCAACTTGAGTGCTTTTTTCTGCTACAAACGCGAAGGAATGGGCTTAAACGTAATATATCTTTGAATACACTTTCTTAAACGTTTCATTGAATAACATAGTATTCTAAACAGATGCAAGATAATTCTGAAATCATAAAAAAAGGCACTAAAAGACGAGGTAAACTGCGAGTAAAAAGATTTAGTATAAATAATTGTAAAAAAATGTCCTCCATAAAATATCATTAATTTCTAAATTAAAAATAACAATTAGATAAAAATATAGTCAATCATAGTTGGTCGTGAGAAGCTGACATAAGCGGAATCGCCGAGTGTTTTAAAAATAATTCATTCAAATAAGCTAACTAATATGCACGAAGACAAACAGTCACATCAATTAATTTGTTGATGAAAAAAATCAGAAATTACATATTGATTAAAACTGATTATTTGATTTAGATCATTGAATATATTGACAGACAAGTTCTTACAATATTGAATGATCTACCTAATGTTATTTATCCCACACTCTTGTACACAGTGAAAACGTTCATCGCACGGATTCATGACGAGAATTGTTTGATGGTAAATCAGTCTACTATAAGTTATTTTAAAATGTTTTCTGTATCCCAACGCATAATCAATTGATTTTCATTAGTATTTAACTCCGTGAGCAACAAAACACCCAGTCATAAGAATTCGTTTGATTGTAATCTAAAGATGTGAGTGCAATACAGCTTTCATATCCTGTGATAAATCATCTGACTTTGGTTATCACATAGTCACATTAAAAGGATGTTTTATTAGTGTGATATGTGGTCTTTATTGTTGACATAATACTTGGGTAAATATACAACTAAAGTCATAAACCCTATTACAAAATAAAACAAAATAATCAAAGATTTTAGTTTTCAGAAACACAATCGGAATTTATGCTAAAAAATTAATCTGATAACCAAGAAAACATGTTAACATGTATGCGTATAGTTGATAGAATTCATCGAGTACAGTTTGTGACTGTTTTCTCTTGAGCACGCAGCCTACATGATTGTTATTAGTCACTCCACTTAAGTCACACATTTACGAAAGATTTATACATTATCTAATCGAAATTACACAGCCTCATATGTATTCAGATTGGAGCTAGCACACTGTCATTAGGTTACTAACAAAGCAACGCCAAAGGATAAACAGGGCATTTGCCAGTATGTAAACCATATCGATTTGCCATACTGTTGAAATTCCAAATAGTTTAAACTACTCTGATTCTGTACAATGGTATCAACAACTAATACGCGAACTGATATTTGGTATGAGTTTATTGAAACAATTGTTAACTCACTGATTCGTTGTTCTATTAATTTGTGACCACCAATTATTGTTACATCAAATAATTCCATTTCCACTTCGACACGTGACGGTTGGTGTAGAGGGAGTAAGTAGGAAGAAAGCTAAAGCGGCTAAATCAAAAAGTGGAATTAGACCACGAAGACACCGACTTTTGAACTGAGCCCTGTTGACAGTTTCAGACTACCTGATTGAGGTCAGTGAAATTATAGTGGTGACCAGTGGTTAGAGACTTTGACTGATAACTCAGGATCATCCGCAATGGTTCAAATGTATTCACTACTTATCTTCCCTTAGATTACAAGTTTCTCGATTATCTTACAATGGTTTTCATTCGATGAATTCATGTTTTTTTCTTGAATGCTATATTCTATAACTAATATTTCCTGCTACCACTAATACTGTTACTACCTACACTACACTGATACCTCACTGTGTTGAAGTGATATGACAACTTGAACCTATGCACATATGTACCAGGTTCTATGTATGGCTACATATTACCGACTGATTGAAATTAACGCTGTGACTAACACAGTGCTACATCAATATGATTAATGATGCATACAATCTAATCTACTGTACGGTTAATCTAGCTTGGTAGCCTACATTAAGCTAAACGGATGCTCATTTACATGTATATTATCTTTTAAAGTCACCATATAACTTTAACAACCCCTTAAGACAGTAAAGCATTACCACCAAAAAGTACAATTATATATTGAACTTATAACATATTAGTGGATATCATAAGATCATCATAGTTAATGTTAGCGTAAAGGAAAATGTCGATTATCCTCTGTTACCATAACTTAGCCAATAAAAATAACTAATAACCCGAAAGTCAAGTTAACTGATATTTAATTTATTGGGATAATGGAAACTAATATATAAAAAACTACATATCACTTGAATTCATTGAAAATAAATGATCAACTTCCTTTCATAACCAGACCAATAATCGGGACGGAAAATGTTTCACAGTACATCAATTTACTGCTAATTAAACAAAACTATGTTGATGATAATGTGACGATAATAATTATTATAATTATAACATTCAGAAAAACAAACCCATACACGAATCTGTACAGCTGTTAGGAGATTGTATTTGTGAATCGCCTGGTGATAGATCAGATGAGCGCTTTTCACATGGATTTGAAGAAATGGATGACTGAACCTGTTTATTCATGAGGGTAAAAATATGTAGAACAATATTTTTAATTATGGGATAAGTAAAGACAAAATAAATTTTTCACTGTTGCGTAATTTACCAAGTGTTATATCTGAGCGATTGATTGATATCAATTGCTAAATTCTCCAATCAGAATTAAGATTACATTTTCGCTTATTCACGTCTGTTACTCCGTTTATAACCTAGCACTCTTAGTCTTGATCAATGATACATTCCGATAGACACAATCGACCTTAAGCCATCGCAAGCTTATTGGTCGGCTCATATGCAATGCCTTCAATACCCAGCCTTAAGTCTGAGAAGAAAGCCGTAGCCAAACCTCTATACTATATTTAAAAAAGCCTCTCCAGCAGCTATCTCAAGCCCTCATTAGCTTATATGCCCGACGAAACAGAATCAAACTAATAACATAAAATAGAAAATCAACGTTATTACACAAAAATTTAAAAAGTGGCTGTCAATTGGGAAAACTGTAAATAATTGATTAGCGATAAATATAGGAACAATAAAACGTATAGTAACATGTAATGGGTCAAATGGAGGCTAACAACAAACGGAATACAAAAACTCAGTAGTTACACAATGTGAAAATAAACAACAATATTGAGGAAGATAGTCCAAACAGTTAGAACTTCTCCAATACTTGTTCTGTTATAACACTCAGCACTCGGCTGAGATAAAAACATTAGCAAGTAAAGGCTAATGGTATTGCCCAGACACTAAAAATGAAGTAGATGTAGCCAGCTGGGTTCGCACCCACCTTGTAGAGGCTGATACGTAAATTCTTTAACTACTAAACCAATGTTTCAGAAAAACACTATAAGTACCATCATAAGAAGTTCCAAATTGAAATAAGATGAAAAATTCATAAAGTAGTCCAATCAAAAATCAGCCAAATGATAAGTGCACGCGATTGGACCAAAAGTGGTTTACATTTCGTAGGAACGATAATACACATCACTGGTGGCTTTATTTTCTAAAAGATATATGTAGGTATATACGTACAAGCCTATTAGGTTAGTCAATAAACTTCCTTTCATACTCAGCCTTCTTCACTCGAGTAGCCAATTGGGTCCATATTCACAGGAAGACTGAGTAACACTATCAACTATCGAAAACTGTCGGTTCTGTGGCAGTGTCTGTCATTGAAAGGTGTACCTCAGAAGTACATAAACCTTGTGAAGATTCCTTTTCCGAACACTACTGGTCGAGTCAGAGCTTACCGCGACCTCAAGTTGTGTCGACAAGGCTATCCAATATGTCCATTTCTGTTTAATTTCATCATAGACCTACTACTGGAAATAACGTTCTCGTCGACTAAATTTTTTGGTAATTGATCTCCTCACAGGAGGTTCACTTATCAAGTTAGAATTTGCAGATGAGAGAGTTCTGTTTGATGAAGACGCTGATAAAATGTAGAGTTTTTTTGTAGCACTGAACAACATTGCCATGATGCTTGGAATGCGTCTCCCTCCCTTTAAATTCAAATTGTTGCTTCAGGACTAACTGGCTTGCGTCAACACCTAAACTGAGAATAAAGAGTGAAGTAGTCGAACTAAGCGACAACTTAACTCATCTTGGAAGTCTGATCAGCCCTAATGGGTTGGTGTCTGACGAAATCTCAGCACAGATTCGGAAAACTCATTTGGCTTTTGCCAACATACGTAACCTATGATGAAGGCGAGATATTAGTCTATCGATTAAGGGACCAGTATACTGTGCAGCAGTTCGTTCTGTTCTACTTTACGGTTGCAAAATGTGGTCATTAAGAGTACAAGATGCTCGTAAGTCACCAGTATTTGATCACATATTTCTAGGAAATATTGCCAACATCTGCTGGGATCACCGGGTAAGTAATAGTGAGGTTAGACGTTGGGTGATTAGGAGATGATGGTAAATCAGTTTATCAAGTTATGAATCTTCATCGACTGAGATCGTTGGGCCACGTGCTACGTATGCCTGTACACCGATTAACACACAACGAAATGCTGACTAGTGTTGGAGACGGTTGGAAGAAAGTTAGGGACGGCCAAACCAAAACATGGCATCAGTGCTTGAAGTCACTAACTCCTAGTCTGAACCATGTTGGTAGATGCAGACTATCTGGTTGGGGTCCGCTTGACTATCGTAACTAATTGTTGGAGACTCTTGGTGACATTGTTCAGAATCGATCACAATGGCGTAGGTGTATAAACTCTTTGCCTTTCCTTAAACCGTGAGATTAAAATTACCTTATACCTTTCGTTCTACGAACTAATTCTTTTTCTCCGTATCATATCCTTATGTTCAATCCTTCTTTTATATGTTACTACCATTGAAGTAGCTACTTCTATGGTTTTGGTGATCATCTTGCCGTGCTAATGAGGTCTGGCAACTTGGACCGCGCATATATGTGCCTGGTTCTACGTTGTAGCTGATTCACTGTGTATGATAAAAAGTATATATGCCTAATAAATATGAAACGAATATGAAATTAGTATAGGAGGTTTGAAGAGACTGTTGAATTTTCACAGTTTACATTACAGACTGATCTTAGACAACCATTGAAAACCAAGAAGCACTAAGTAACCGTTTGGTCTTAGTGTAGGACTCCTCAGCCGTACCCCTTCGCAGGTCTAGACCACTGAGCTGACAACCATTAGTGTATATGTCTGGTCTTAATCGGCTCGCGATATTGTGCGAAAACCCAACAATCTACACAAACTCTCTATACTAACAATGATCATGTGCTCATTAGCGACTAACTGCGACAGGTAATTCCAAGAGTCCCAATGAGAAGCCGTGAATAATAGAGTTCATTCACAGTTAATCACTATCTATAATGAAAAATGGACGCGCAATAACACGAATTGTATGAAGTTGGACATGTACACACTAAGATGACAATCCAGTTGGTTAGGGGATATGCCTTCACCCCAAAACTGAAATTCTTGATTCCGATCATCCGGTGAAGTTGTGAATGAGTACGGCTGAAGAGTCCTACAGTAAGACGAAACGGTTACTCAGTGTTTCATGCTTCCCAATAGTTGTCTCAGATCAACCCATAGTGTAAACTATAAGAAAATGGAATTATTTAATAACTGTAAATTGATGTATGTATAATGTAATACGAGTTAAGTATCTTTGAAATAAACACACAGTCAATCATACAGTACAACAATTTATAACACATTATGATTGCGCACAAACATATAGACAGTTTACAAATTTTAACTATTTTTAGAACTTCTTTTATTATATTTTTAGAATCAAAATTTCAGCACATTTCATAATATTTCAAGGGAAAACATTAATTTTTCTCCAATTGCATGAATACGGTGAACGGAGGGCATACATGTATATAGAATAAGTACGAAACTATCGCTAGCCTCTCCTAATTCAGTAAACCAGTGATCCTTTACTCATTAGCTTGCTATAAATAAAAATAATATATTTGTAATATCCCAATCAGTAGAAAACGTAGGTTTTTCTATTCATTGGGATATTACTAATATATAACTGCTCAGTTTATTTGGAATTCAAGCCTTGGTAATGATACTTACAAACTCATTAACTTGCTGTTTTAAAATGGTTTGAAACCAGCAGCAGAGGTAATAAATACACGCATGTTATATATATCTTGAGTTCAGTATTATCATTCCATACTCTTTACTCAGCAGTTTCATTCATCCCTTTTGAAATATATTCCTATATGTTTAGTTTTTTATTATCATTGGTACTATTATTATTCTTAATTATTGTCTTTTTTAGCTCGTTAGTATTTTTGTTGTGCTAATGTAATATAACAGATTACAGCAATCCATATCTGTGCCAGGTTGTGTGTTGTTTACGACTGACTGACCCTGTTTCTACGGCAAATATTAAGGAAATTCTACCATTTCTTAAAGTCGTGTCAACCAGATTTTCACATTACTCGAGACTAAGAAACCATCACAACTGCATGTCTTAAATAGAAGTTAGCTTTTCACCCATCTTAGCTACCAGTTAATATGACCTCCAATGATTAGAACATCCATAATATCATATTTTAATTTGGTAGAAACATTCGAAATGATGTGACAATTGTTATCTCTCAGCCTGATCTTCACAAGAAATTACATGTGATGACTAAAATATATGTTTCTTCAATTTAAAGATTCATCAAATTTAGACAGGCATAAGTACAGATCATGATGTTACCAAAGAAAACTAAATGAAAAATGACCTAAGGTTTCATGAGTTATGTGAAGAAATAGAAAATTTTCACTTGTCACCGCCCTCCAGGATAAAGCAGCCGACCATCAACCCTTAGATTAAAGATTGGGACCACACCCCACTCATTTCAGTTCGGACAGCCAAGTAGTATTGTAGTGAAGGAAACCACAGGTGAGAACAACCGATTATATTTAGAACTGTGTTGATCAGTGTTCAGGCAGACGTAACACGTGGCACAACATCCTGCGTCTAACCCTACTATTACTTACCCGGGGATCCCAGCAGATGCGAGCAATATTTCCAAAAAATATGTGGTCAAATACTGGTGATTTACGAGTATCTTCTACTCTTAATGGCCACATTTCGCAGCCATAAAGTAGAACAGAACGAAATGCCACGCAGTAAGTCTTCATACGTAAAACATGTAGTTCATAGGGAGGTATCTAAGCTTGTATTTAGTAAATAAGTTCCATATAATTAGATAAAGCTAAACCCTATTTAATCCATATATTTAAGCCAAACTATTCCATGAATGACCACTTGCCAAACAGTTGATTTTCACTGTCTACATAAAAAACATCGTTTTCGTTGTGACGGCCCAAGTGATTTGAGACTGTGTTAGCCAAGCTGTTAATCTTTGCTCACAAGACCAATAATCCTCTAGAAATTCAACTGAATAAGCTTTTATAAAAAACATGACATAACTTAAGGGAACAAAACTACCACTGTATACACAAAATAATCGACGTAAATATAGTCTAAATACGAGTTATTTGTAAACTAATTAATGAATGAACAGTCAAGAATAAAAACATATGTCGCAGAAAATAGCTGATGATTATACACTACAGTTAGTTAAAACATCGTTCTTATAACTAATACACTACTTTCATGCATTACGATGAAAATTCTAAACAAATCAGGAACCTGTATGATTAGAGGTTGACTATAATTTCCAAAGTAATAATAATAATAACAGTTAAAACCCCGTCTACTTTAAACTCACGTAAGTTTCTGCATTCTTCTCCACTAGTTTTAGTGGAGCCATATTGGGTGGCCATAGAACAGACATCAATGTCGGTGTTACACCTTTCGCTTGAGTTAATCCATGTTCTAATGATTCACTAGGCTGAGAAAATATCAATGGATTTTTAGATGTCACTGAATGTATTAAGTAGGTAGTTAATCTTTGCCCAGGTAATGCTTGGTCAGAAGCTCGTAAAGATACAGTGGCAGCAATTAACGTTTTAGCAATGATCATTGCTGGATCATCATCAGTCTCGTCGTAATTTAAATTTTTTTGAAAACTTACAGAACAATCCTGAAATGTGGAGTCATTGAAGACAATTTGTGAATTGGAACATGATATATTACAAGGTATTATTAAACCAGGCAATGTGAGATCGCCAATTAAGATAGCTTCCGTAAGTAAACAAATTAGTCGAGTATCACGTAGAAATAAATAGACATGAATTAATGTAAACACTGTCACTGAATAGGATAGACGAGGTCTACGAACCTTTCAAAATAAATAAATCAAAAAATTAGTATCGTTTCATTGTTACTAAAAAGAAACGAAAAATTACTATTATAGTACTTGTTATATATATTGTTGGAAACATTATAAAACATAATTATCAATGGCCAGCTTATCATTACTACAGTATCAATATTATGGCACTAACTGTTAATTACTGTAAAGATAATGATTCAATTCACTTGATTTTTAATTATTCAACCTTGGCTCTAGATGCCATTCTTTTTATTTAGAGTTTGGACAGCCAGATACCACCATCATCTTGCATCTATAAGATCAGCCTAAAAATCTAGTACATGAAGAAAATGCACGTAGTAAATAATGTGCATAGTTGTTATTATTCTTATATAAGGCGCATAAACACAAACAGTTCTAAAAAACAGTTTCATATTCTTTGAAATGCTTAAATACCACACAAATAATCGATCACTAAAATTCTTACTAACAATAAGATACTACATATTCTCATATGATACCTAAGTAAACTCATAGACTGAGGTTACAAAACCATAGGCTGATTAGAATATTTTCTTCGCAAACAATATTTTGCAAACACTAATGTTTTCTCATTGAGTCGTGCTTTCTAATGTGGTCTATCCAAGTAGCATATTGGTAAGATCAATATGAACAGTTTTCTCTCCTTAATCAAGACCTTAGCCATCTGGTGTGCACATTAGTTAGGTTTTACCTAACGACTTTTGTTCCAAAATAAAGAGCTTAATAAACAGAACATCAAATCGTTAACCTAACCTTCCATAGGCTGTCTACTCGAACACTATTAATCGAGTCAGAATTTACGGTGACCTGTCATTGAAATTGAAAGCTTCAAGCGGTGTTCGTCAGAGTTATCCTTTTTCGCTGTTTTTATTTAACTTTGTTAGAAATATTCTTTTAGATATAACATTCATCGTCTGACTTGTCAGGAACCGATCTTCTGCCAGAAAATCCTCCTGTTGGTTTAAAATACACAGGCGATATAGTTCTGTTTGATGAAGACTCTGACAAAGTGTAAGGTATTCTAGCCGCCGTAAGCAACAATGTTAAAATTTCTGGGATGAGTTTCTCTCCCTCCAAATGCAAAATGTTTCTTCAAAACTGGTTTATATCAACGCCTGAACTAGTTATAGCGAGTGAATTAGTTGGGTACGTCGATCGGTTCATTTATCTTGGGAGCCTCTTCAATCCTGATGAGTTAGTGTTTGACGACATCTCAGCAAGAATTCAGAAAGCTCAACCAGTTTTTGCCAACTTGCGTTACTTGCGGCGTTGGAAAGATCTCCGCCTGGAAATCAAAGGGCGAGTTTACTGTGCAGCAATTAGATCCATTCTCGTCTGTGGCGATGAAAAGTGATCATCTTAGACAGAGGATATTCACAGGTTACTAGTTTCTTATCATTGATGTTTTCGAAGCATTACTCGTTTATGTTGGGATCATTAAGTAGGGAATTCTAAGATTAGATGCAGAGTACTAGGGAAGTATGACAAACCGAGGTAGTCAATCTTTATCAAATGAGATGGTTAGAATATGTATTGCGTATTCACATCCATCGAATTCTTTGATGACTGATAATGGCTGTTGTAGGGGAGTAAGTTGAAAGAAAGCTAGTGGTAGTCAAACCAATACATAGCAGAAGTCCATGAAGACAAACTGTCGGAGTGACCAATGTGGGCATTCTCAGATTACCGAATTGGGTTGCGAGTTATCATCGTGACAAATGGTTAGAGACTTAGAATAACATAGCTCAGAATCGTTCGCAATGGTTTGGGTGTATCCACTCTCTCTTTTCAACTCCACCTGTAGCTCTTCTAGAGTTACTACCGGTCCCAAGCCCGGGTGAAAGAGGAGGTTTGAGCATGGGGGCGGCAACCACATCCCGTACAAAACAACCTTGCTAAAAAACGTCAACCAGATTAAACAAATTAAACCATTTGAACTTTACTCTGAGAGTTGAAGGAAGAATTATGACGCCTTATAGTGAAAACCAAGATTCTTAGGAAGTCACAAGACTGATGCCCCTTCTAACAGCCAGAGAAACAATCTTTAGAGGGACCTGGAACATCTTGACAATGTGAGAGACCGGGAGGTCCAATCAAATAATTGCGAAAATGAGGAGAAACAACTTGGCAGTACTCGGAACCAGCGAAACCCATTGGACCCAAGCTGGACAGAAATAAATAGAGATGCTGTTGTACTCTGGTCACGAAGAAGAAAATGCTTAACACACTCAGGGGGTCGCTCTGATGCTTTCCAAAAAAGCACGTAATGCACTTGCAGAATGGAAATCTCATGGACTCATAATCACCAAAGCACCTCTCAAAACAAAGAATGAGGCAATCACAATGAATATCATGCAGTGTCATGCACCCATCATAACAGCAATGGCAATGATGAAGATTAGATTTACGAGAGGCTGCAATCAATCGTAGCGAAGTGCCCAAGTAAGTTTCTGACCATCTTGATGGAAGACCTAAACCCAAAAGTCGGAATGGACAACACACGGTGTGAAGATAACATGGGACGACATGGACTGACAAGGAGAAAGGAACGAGAATGGTGACAGATTTGCAAATTTGTGTGTACTCAACAATATGGTTATAGGCGACACAATATTCCTACACAAACTCACACACAAAGCTACATGGGTCTCACCGGACCACACCACAGAGATCCAGACCAATCAGATTTACATCACCGACAAATTCAGATCAATGGAACACGTGAGAACCAGGAGAGAAGCTGACATAGCTTCAGATCAAATTAGCTGGTGGTTGCCAAGATGAGCCTGACCGATGTTGCTACCTTGACGTGGTGGTCGGGCTTGCCTATCGTGATGAAGCAACTGAGCTATACTGGCTGGAACAACCGTTCCTCAAGGTCCTACCATGCCAGACAGGTCGGTTGAAGAGCGATAAGACTAAAAGCAACAAAACCAAGGTCCGAAGGAGAAGTCGTACTGCTGACTGTTCAGAGGTGTGACAGCAGTAAGGTGTTTCCTTCAGACAACCAGCATAACAGCGATGCTGCCTTCCCAAAAGGAGGGGAGGGGTTAGAAAAGGTCGACCCTAAAAATGCACACCTCGCCTTATCCCACGGATATCCGTCTCCGGCGGTAAGGTCTCAACAAGTACAGAGCTAACACAAAAATTACTCATAAAAAGGTCGTGTGTGACCGACCTCTAGCAGCTGTCCCTTGGGCACTGCGGTCACGCTCTCAGGTCACTATGACCACCTTTAATCTAATTTCCTTTTTAAGCACCTCCAGGAGAACCCTTCCACGGTGTGGGCAACCGGGAAGTGATAACCGCCCTCATACCTCTAATAGCACTCAAAACCACTGTATTCATGATCAGCCTCCCTCTTCAATCCCTATTACTCCTCCTCCTACAACAACTTTCAAATCTAAGCTTCCTCCTCAAGTATCACCACAGCCAACGATTCTAGTGCACAAAACACTGTCCCAGGTCTACTGAAACCTCACTCCAAACTACACATTAGAACCTTCAACGTACGCACACTATGTCAAATCGGTCAGCTGGCATCCTTGGCTAAAACCCTAGAAGCTCGTACAATTGATGTATGATGTGACTCCGAAACACGCATACAGGATCCTAGTGTGGTCATTCACTTGACCACACCTCGACAAAACAGAGAGCCGACGAAATACACCCTCCGTATATCTGGCGACCCGATGGCTAGTTCTCGTGGACTGGCAGGTGTAGGCATAGCACTAAGCATGAGGGCGGAACAAGCGCTATTAGAGTGGATCCCCGTTAATAGTCGTCTATGCGCTGTTCGGTTAAACGGCTCGGTAAGAACTCGAAAGGATAGGGACACACGTCGTTTCCTTTTCGTCGTTTCTGCCTACGCCCCCACTGACTGCAGTTCGGATGAAGTGAAAGATGAATTTTACAGAAAACTCTCTGAACTTCTTCAGAAAACTAAACGTTCAGACATAGTACTCGTAGGAGGTGACTTTATGCCCAGGTAGGTAGCTTAAACAAAACAGAAAGACATTTAGGTGGGTATTTTAGTATTCCGGCACAGAGAACAGATAATGGTGATCGTCTGCTGCAACTGTGCTCAGACAATCGTTTATTTCTAGCAAACACAAATTTTAAGCATAAGGAGAGACATCGTCTAACATGGCGACCCCCTGCACCAAACCATCGATGGACTCAAATAGACCATATTGCCATCAGTCATCGTTGGAGAGGGTCAATAGAAGATTGTCGCTTATTCTGGAGTACCTGCGTGGACTCCGACCATGCCCTAGTACGAGCACGCATCTGCTTGCCCTCACTGGACGCAAAAAAGCCACACAAAAAAGACTCATTAGAATCGAATTGAGTAATGAGAAAACCAAAAGTAGGTTCCAGGAACAACTGAGGTCACACTTAGGTGGTTCTGAAAACGAGGCTGACCCAGATGTTGCTTGGAAAGATATACAATCAGCTGTGGAAACAGCAGTGACGTCTATTAGTGATTTAAACCACTGGGCACTGATGGATTCGCGTAAACTCATCCCATCAGGTTCTGAACACGATGAAGAGCGGAAACAAATCAGATCTAGGCTAACCAAAAGTCTAAGGAACGATCGTGAGCGGTAGTGGGCAACGAAAGCAAAGGCGGAGGCTATAGAGAACACCAGACATCTCTTCAGACTCGTAAAAGAAACTGGAAATAAAAAGTCAGGTGTAGGTGACACTATCTCGGAAAAAGACGACACTTTCATCTGCTCCCAGTCCAAACGTTTAGAACGATGGGCGGAACATTTTAAGGAGCAGTTCAGTTGGCCTTCAGCTACTCTACAACTATCCTCTATTCCCAGACAGTATGAATGGAACATTGAAGTAGGTCCCCCAACTCTAGCTGAAGTTCAAAAGGCTATAGCTAATCTGAAACGAGGAAGGGCAGCTGGTCCAGACGGATTGGTTCCAGAGGTCTTTAAGGATGGTGGTCTAGTTTTAGCTATTAGGTTGACTAATATTTTAGCTAAAATCTGGGAGTTAGACGTTATCCCATCTAACTGGTCACAATCACTTATCGTCCCAATATTTAAGAAAGGGTCAAAATCATCCTGTGACAACCACAGAGGGATTAGTTTAACTAATATAGTATCTAAAATACTAGCTTCGATAATTTTCGGACGCCTAACTAAGACTCGTGAGCTGCAAACACGTGAAAATCAGGCTGGCTTCAGACCTGGTCGTGGCTGCATCGACCACATATTCACCATTCGTCAGGTTCTAGAACACAGGCATACTTATCGGCGTCCGACAATAGTGGTCTTCCTTGATTTAAAAGCAGCGTTTGACTCTGTTGATCGAGAGGTTCTGTGGCAGTGTCTGTCATTGAAAGGCGTACCTCAGAAGTACATAAACCTTGTGAAAGCTCTTTACTCGAACACTACTAGTCGAGTGAGAGCTTATGGCGAACTGTCATCTGCTTTTGCAACCTCAAGTGATGTCCGCCAAGGCTGTCCACTTTCTCCATTTTTGTTCAACTTCATCATAGATCTACTGATGGAAATAACGCTCTCATCGACTGAATTCTCAGGTATCGATCTCCTACCAGGAGGTCCACTTATTGACTTAGAATACGCAGATGACATAGTCCTGTTTGGTGAAGACGCTGATGAAATGCAGAGTCTTTTGGTAGCACTGAGCAACAATGCCAGAATGTTTGGGATGCGCTTCTCTCCCTCCAAATGCAAGTTGTTGCTTCAGGACTGGTCTGCGTCAACACCTGAACTAAGGATAGGGGGTGAAGTAGTCGAACGCGTCGACAACTTCACTTATCTTGGAAGTCTGATCAGCCCTAATGGGTTGGTGTCTGACGAAATGTCTCCACGGATTCAAAGAGCTCGTTTGGCTTTCGCCAACTTATGTCACCTATGGCGAAATCGAGATATCCGTCTATCAATTAAGGGACGAGTATACTGCGCGGAAGTTCGTTCCGTTCTACTTTACGGCTGCGAAACATTGCCATTAAGAGTTGAAGATACTCGTAAGCTACAAGTATTTGACCACAGATGCCTTAGAAATATTGCTGGTATTTGCTGGGATCACCGAGTAAGTAATAGTGAGGTTAGACGTTGGGTGATTAGGAGATGATGGTAAATCAGTTTATCAAGTTATGAATCTTCATCGACTGAGATCGTTGGGCCACGTGCTACGTATGCCTGTACACCGATTAACACACAACGAAATGCTGACTAGTGTTGGAGACGGTTGGAAGAAAGTTAGGGACGGCCAAACCAAAACATGGCATCAGTGCTTGAAGTCACTAACTCCTAGTCTGAACCATGTTGGTAGATGCAGACTATCTGGTTGGGGTCCGCTTGACTATCGTAACTAATTGTTGGAGACTCTTGGTGACATTGTTCAGAATCGATCACAATGGCGTAGGTGTATAAACTCTTTGCCTTTCCTTAAACCGTGAGATTAAAATTACCTTATACCTTTCGTTCTACGAACTAATTCTTTCTTCCTGTATTATATCCTTTTATATACTACTACCTTTGATGTGACTAATTCTATGAATTCGGTGTTCATCTTGTTGTGCTAATGCGGTATGGAAGCTTGGATCGATGCATATATGTGTCTGGTCCTACGTTGCAGCTGACTAACTGACCAAAATGAAACTGAAGCTAAAGAAACACCGGACAACTGGGGAAACAACATTACATAGGTTCAATGTAGCCTGCCCTCGAGATACTTGTCGATCTCAACGAATTCAAGATAACTCTCAACAACAGGTCCCAAACCTTACAGGATCTACTGAAAGACGAAACTACTATGAAGGACAACTGCAAGCATTTAAACAGTTGTCTATGCAAGATACGCAATATCCGTTGGCCGGATACCATCGGCAACAGCCTACTGTGGGAGAAACCAAACCAGCTTCCAGCTAAAGAAGAAATTAGGAAAAGACGTTGGAAGTGGATAGGACATAGATTACGGAAATCACAAAACTGCATCACGGGGCAAGCCCAAACTTGGAATCCAGAAGGGAAACGGAAACTGGAAAGGCCAAAAACACTGTGTCGAGGATTGAAAACAGACATGAAATGGATGAATAGCGGCTGGAAAGGATTGCCCATAACAGAGTTAGAATGAGAATGCTGGTGGGAGGCCTATGCTTCTGCACGAGGCGTAACAGGTGTAAATAAGTAAGTACATCCATGGTCATGTCTGAAACTAGCCTAGTTTACCGAAATTAACTCTTCACAAGCTCCACTTAAGTGATGATTGATTATTGGGGTTAATATTACAAAAACTACATTAGTCAGACTGACTCGTCTGTCACTATCATAGGAGCTTCGTCCTTTCCTGTAAACTGGAACGATCAGCAATCGAGACCAAACAAATGAAATTACGTCTAGCTAACATTTCAGTTAACCTAACAGATAAAACTGGACCATCATCCCTGAAATCTCAGGACTGGATTCCTCACGACCCGTTTCTATCCATCGTTTTAGATTAGCCTTGGCTTTGCCTACTTCTTTAAAAGTTGAACAGCTTATGCTGACATCCCATTCAGGTTGCTTGGTAAGAGTAGAAAACAGAAGGGTAACTAGAGAGAAGTTAAACTATTTTTGAGTGGTTTTTGTCATCGTTCCGGTCTCTTGGGTTGAGAAAGGATCATTGTACAATCTTATTCACAGATAACCTCCATAACTTCCCAATTTTTAATAGCTATTTCTTTGATAAGTCTGAATAGTTATCTGTTGTTACTTATTTTCGCCATTTTCCCCTTTGTTTTCGCTGCCCAATACTCCTCATAATCATTCCGAACAACGTATACTGAGTCTAAGTTTAATTGACTTCCACTCTTCATCAGTTTCCGAGCATCTATCAGTCCAGTAGACACTGCTGAAATCTACGTATTCTTTTCCTAACCTTTTAGTTAAAGTCACTCGTAGATATCACTGCTCTTTTCACGACTATCTGCATACCATTACAAACCATGTAGGGGTGAAGATTAGTTTGAAGACCAACTAACTGCCTCCACAGTTGTTCCTGACATATACTCTTGACGTTTTCGTCATCAAGTTGAGCTCTAGGGGGTTTTCTTGTTGTGGCTTTTCTACGCCTAGTAAGATGCAAACGAATGCGTGCTCGTACTCAAACATGGTCAGAGTTTAGACATATGCTCAAGAATGAAAATCAGTCTTCTATCGAGTCACTCCAACGTGGCTGATGATGATATAGTCTACTTGTGTCCATCGTTGAGTAGACTGTGAGGGTCGCCATATCAGACGTTTCACTTTATACTTGAAGCTGGTACTTGTTAAGAATAAACGGTTGTTTGAGCATAGTTGCAGCGGCCGGTCACCGTTATCTGCTCGTTAAGCTGGGACACTGTAAGACACACATAAATATTTTTCAGTTTGGTTTACAAGAAGCGCTGATTGCCTGAGAGGAACACCTTACTGCTGTCATACAGCGGTACCGTCAGCAGTATAACTTCACTCTCAGACCATTATTTTGTTACTTTTACTCTTACAGCTCCCCAACCGATCTGCTTGACATGGTAGAACCTAAAGGAATAATTTTCCCCTAAGTATAGCCCGATCACCACGTCAATATAGAAACCATTCAATGGCGCAAAGAATTTGTGCTCTTGAGCACTCATTTTCTAGTGCTGAGTTAATATGAAACAGATGTAGAAAGCAGTTGGAACACAAAAGAAAGAAAAAGTATTTATTCTAACCTAGATGTAGTCAATGATTCGTTCGAATTTACGAGATACTCCTGTCAGTGGGTGAGTAATCCAGAATATCGGTTTTCAGATAACTTAATCACAGTTACGTTGATTATTATAGTAGACGTTACTTTCTGAATGAAACTAAAACGCATTTAAACTAATTATAAGAAAATAGATGAACCATTTTTGTTGCATTGTTTCATATGAAATTTACTCAGCTATGTGGTTCCTAGTTTTACAACTCATCAGAGAAGCTAAAATAGTTGCCTACAGTACAACCGCAGCATAAAACTTTGTAAATCCGTTTTCTCTTCAAAATAAACTTTCGAGTCTGTTGGTTATAGGTGGTTGGCTGAAATGGGACTAGGTCTATAAATGTATTGAGGTGGTAAACCCAAGACACGAAATTTAGTCTATGGTGTCATTAACTGTTAGTTCTTACATAAAGTACACAATAAAAACCTGATTAAGCCTAATGAAATGGTGAACGGATGTGTTAACTTGAAAAATATATCGTATGTGGAAATTAAAACGCGTAGTTTCTTTTTCCCATCACATATATATTCAGGCTACACATAAAAAACACTTGTCAACTTACTGTCCCTAGATTTGCTGTTGCATCCGATTTGTATTGCTTAAATAGTGAGTAGATATGTAATGGTATAAATAATCTTCTCAGTAACTGGTCACACAGTACTTCATTTAAGCCTTCTATACCCAATGACAACAAGTCATCTATGTAGTGTAAATGATCAATATGTTCTGCAACTAAATCTTTCAACTTAGTTTGACACCTATTAAGTAATTACGAAAAAAATTATCTGTTGTTAATGAATCTGTACTAAAAATTGAATGAATATTTGAAGACAAACATATTTACTGTGAAATGAAAACATGATATAACGAAGACATAAACATAAGTAATATGGAAGAACATACCCAGACGAAAATTGAAGAAATGGTAACTCTCTGAACTAATTCATAGGCTATTGTAATATTATTCTATTGTTACTGGATAACTGGGATATATTTATATAGTGTTTATCTTAAGCTTCCGTTTAACTCACTATCTATTATTGTACTCTTATTAATTCCTATTTTATTGCCAATCGATTATTCGTAGCTTGCCCTATTCACAGCCACTTTTGGCTTATTTATGAATAACTGTAATTATTTTGAAGGTACGATGAGGCCCAGTATGTCTATATAAAAACCCATGTATGTCTGGAATAATAACAAAAGCTGAATGTTGACTACTCCTTGGACTCCAGGCAAGGGATGGAGAAGGCTTGAGTATAACAGACCAATCGGGACTTACTCTGCGTCGACCCAAGGTTGACGGCGCAGATCAGATGTGTTAGTGGACAAGTCTAGGACACCGCGACGTAGAAGAAATAGTAGACGCGACATAAATAAAAATCGGAGTTAAAATTCTGAGTAGTAGTTTTAACGCGTGATATCGACCAATGATCTCAAGCCACAACATGAAGAATGTGCACAAACAGGTATCCCAAAAGTTTTCAACAACTTCAGTCAACAGGTTACTATGAGTAGTAATATCAACCTACTGCATGTTTGATGACAAGCAATCATCGTAACTTATTGGCCTAATGAATAGAGCTTCCAGTTACAAAAGTGAGGTTCACTGGTTAAATCCCAAACGTAACTTATCTTTTCATAGCCTTACAGATAATTCCAGTTTAAGCGAATTAGAATATTTATTATTTATTTTAACACATAGGTATTGGTACAGGGAGGCACCAAATACATATGCGCCACACGAATCTCAATTGATTTGTGTGAGGGCTGTGATACTGCCCGGGTGCCCAAACCGAAGCAGGTAAGCGAATTAGAAATCGGACAGTAAATATGTAAATCATGCCTTAATCCCCAATAGGAACTAAATTATATTGAACAACGAACGGAATGTGATATAACACCGTAGTACAGTTTATTTAGTGTTAAGCGTTCACAAGAAATTGAGGTGCCACTAAATTTAAATTTTCAGTGTTTTCGTTAATACATAGAAATTTAATAGATGAATTCACGAGTCAATTAAAGCTGCTAGACCACGCCTAGAAACACTGGACAACCGTTTCGTCCTAGTATGGGACTCCTCAGCAGTACGCATCCACGATCCCGCTCGCGGGATTTGAACCTAGGACCTAGCGGTCAAGCGCGCGAACGATTAACCTCTAGATCACCACCACTGAGCCGGCATCCAACGGTGTTAATGTCTAACTTCAACTAATCCACGGAATTGCACCACCGTCCACCATTGTCTTTAGTGAGTTTCTATCTCACAACAGACCCGGTTGAACTCCAAAAAACCCCTTTCTGATTATAAATATAAATTTGCTGAACGACCCATTTTAATAACTGCAATACAATTCAAAAGTCAAGTATAAATTCGTGTCCTAAGCGTAGCCAATTTTTATTGGTGAAAACTAATGACACTACCAGGCCGTTAGAACTGAATTAGGCGAAGTAGGGTTAAGGAATAGGTGATTAAAATCTCTGAGACAGAACTAAAGAGAACTAAAAACAACTAGCAAATTATTAAACATAGTAGATTTCAATCTTTCATACATCCTGACCCCTTGATAAGCTTAAGAAAAAGTGAGGACAATATTTTCAGAATAGAATGAACCCATTATATTTCAAGGCTACTCATCGGCTGCAAATGACCTAAGCTTACAATCAAAATTATTTTTTTATTTTTATTTTATTTTAACACAGATATTGGTACAAGGAGGCACCAAATACATATGCGCCACACAGATCTCACTTGATATGTGTGAGGGCTATGATACTGCCCGGGTGCCCAAACCGAAACAATCGAAATATTATTATAAAAGTATTATTACATACCATAATCAATGAAGTTTAATTTGAAACGCCTTAAACAAGAGGAAACAATATATTTAACATAATAATTAAGATTGATTAGTATTTATACAGTAATATTTCGATTGTGAATTTAGGCTGTTTGCAGCTGGTGAGAAGCCTTGAAATATAATAAATTCATTTTGTTCTGTAAATATTGTTCACGTCTTATTTACAATTTCAATCCAATCATCCACCTGATAAATCACAGAATTTTCAGAACCACTACTAAATTGTAACCATAACTATTGAAAAATCTAAGTCTATACATAGTTCTGAAAAATCTGAATTGATCTCCAATATCGCAATGGTCTAGAAATCATGTAACTTTAAAATATTAACAAACTGATTCATAAGAGCATAAAAGTGGGATTGAAAGCAAGATACATTTAGATAAACATACAACAAAAAACTAAAAAGTACATATAAGATAATAATTTATTATTTAACATTTTCACTTAAATAAAACGAATTCATCTACATACTGGGCGTCCATAACCACATGTTCCTAATACTCTAATAACCTGAGAAAATCTACACTTTGTCATATAAAACTCATTCCCAATAACTTATATTCTGGTCATTGGACTTCCCTCTCTTTTACTTTCTCTTTACATATCTTATTAACTCAATATTATACACAGCAGAACGACGTATTAGACGCCTTTACAAGTGACTCGTCTATTTTAATCAAATTAGCAAATATATGAAAAGAAGGGCAAAAACATGTAGAACAGTGTTATATAATATATATTATATACAATGAAAAAATATCACTTACTTATGACAATCAATATCTAATATTGTATTACCTATTGACCATACAAGATGTGAGAAGTAAATTAATGAAGTCTGATGGTGAATAAACTCCAAAGCAGCTTCATCTTTAACTATTAACAAAAAAGAACATATAGGTTAAAAGATAAATCAAAAAAAAAAAGATAAACAATTAATTATGATAAATCCCACCTTTATGTACATTTAAAGTGATAGTACGTACAGCGATACGAACCATACCCTCTGGGTGGGCGAACAATTTAATCGCTTCAACATATAAATCAAACTCTCGACGAGACTAAAATATAGTGATAATGAACAATTTTTAAATGCGTGCTTAAAAAAGAATTACCTCAATGTAGAAAAAGCTGATGGTATTTACGTTGAGACGAAAGGATAATATTTTTAGAAAGGAAATATAATAAGCCATCACCTAAGAGAGAAATAGAAAAGAGTTGACAAATAGCTATGTGGATCTACTTCTTCGTCGGTGAAATCAAAACGATGCGTAATAATAGCATTTGTATGATTGTTTGACAAAAGGTAATCTGATAAAAAAATTGAAATATGGCAAATGAATACTTACAGATAGCTGTTTGATTTGTTATATTTTCAAATAAAATATTTAAAGTTTGTAGTAACTGAACACATATTCTTCGACTTAAATCTTGTTTCATATACTGCAAAAAGTATTCGAGAATATTCTTTTCAAGAAAAAAGCTAAATAATATTTTTTTAATGAATCAGAAAGTTACTCCATAACCGAACTATCATTTTGATCACCCCAGATTAAAATTTCTGCAATTAATCGAAGAGCTTCAACTAGTATCCCATAGTTTTGTTCATTAACAGCTCGATTCTTTTGTAACACGGAGTGAAGGTATCTATGAAAATAGAGGATAAATCAAACTCTGAGTCTTGGTCAATTTCGATTAAATTACTGAGAAGAAACAGTTAACTGAATTTCAAAAATCTAGCAAAAAATATGTAACCAACTAGTGTACGAATTCTATCAAGATTTGTGTGTAGTGAAGCTAAACACTTCACTTTACGTAAAAGACATGTGGTCAACAAGCGGCTTACAAGGGATATCATAATTTAATATCAAGAATATATATATATATATATATATATATATATATATATATATATATATATATATATACAAAGTAGTGGGATTTTCAATGGCAAAAAACTGGGTTCTTTTACCACAAACTTACAACTTCTTGAGTGGAGCTCACTTACCATATATGGCTTTATCTACTAAGTATCATGTTATAATTTTTTTGTGACAGCTAATGATATCATCCGGTTTCCAAACCCGAAGTAGATAGGAAAGGGATCAATCAAGTGAGATATCAATTGAACATAAAGTGCGTAAAAGTGTAGGATCTTTCTTGACCAACCTTACGTCGAAACTCAATAAAAACCCTGAAACATACGACACAGAACAAATGAAATCACAAACCAGGTAGTCTAAATTATCATGTCCTAATGGATAGCAATGAATCAACCTGGAAAGGATCCAGTTTCTTAAACGCTACTTTACACAAGTGAACCGAACAAGTACATCGAGAACTCGGATATTTAAATACCTCAAAGATGAAAGTTCCCGTATAACATATCTAACTCCTGGTTTGTTACTGCGAAACAGGTAAACCTGGTTTTCGAGCAGTTTGGGAGACTTCAGTGAAATACTTTCATCGACCCCGAGGTAGTTCAGAAACGTGCTTTATACACCTACCTGGAACCTGTTCTGAAACTCGGTGAACTCGCAAAAACTCCCAAATTAACACAAGTTATTTATTTATTTATTTATTTATTTATTTATTTATTTATTTATTTATTTATTTATTTATTTGAACACATAAATATTGGTACAAGAGGGCACCAAATATATATGCACCAAACAAAACAATGAGAATTTGAAGAGAAGGGAAAAAAGTAATGAACGTAGGGAGTTATAAAAAAAAGAGAGGGAACAATAATGGGGGAAACGGAAGATACAATAGGAAGAAATCTTTCAGTTAAGGAAGAAGCAACCACTTTTTATGAAGAAAGTAAAACAAGGTTACAGAAGGATCGCCACTGACTTCTATTCTGAGCCATATCTGATAACGTTTCTAGCCACTGTGTTGCACCACCTCTCGGACCCCAGCAAGGGAGTCGTCAAGGACCAACAGAAGCCAGCCCTTTGCAGCTTTCTTTCATACCACGACACCATATCATATACTGACCACCTCTCCGCTTTTTCCAACCAGTCCCAGAGTCGGCAAATAATGCACGACGAGGAATTCTCTGGGACGACATTCGTAGAACATGTCCAAGCCACCGAAGTCGATGTTTCAAGATGGTGACACCAATTTCATTATCGTCTCTGTGCCTGAACACACGATGCCGAACCTCTGCATTACTAACATGGTGTTGCCACTGGATGGAAGCAATCCTTCAGAGACAACGATGACCAAACGCAGAGAGTCGTCTAACATCCTCAACTCGGAGAGGCCAGGTTTCACAAGCATAGAGCAAAACTGCTCTCACCGACGCGTTGTAGATCCAACCTTTTACAGCCAGACTAACACCACGAAGGCGACAAAGATGGTCCAGATTGGCATAAGCCGCTCTGGCTTTCACCATACGTGCATTGATCTCATCACTCACACCACCACCAGCACTTATGCAGCTACACAGATACACGAACTTCTCGACTACTTCTATCTGCTCACCATCCAGAGTGAGTACAAGATTAGGATCCTGCCAGTCTTGCAGAAGTACTTTGCACTTCGAAGGTGCAAACCACATACCATACCTACGGACACTGATTGCCAAATGATTAAGTGCGGATTGTATGGATTAAGCATTCTCTCACAGTAAGACAATATCATCCGCATACTCAAGGTCGAGAAGTCTTTCTCCAGGCAACAGATCCACACCACCATTACTTACGTTCATCAGAGCTGTTTCCAGAATGTCATCGATGGCAAAGTTGAAGAGGAATGGTGAGATTGGACAACCCTGCCTAACCCCACTGCTCGAATGGAATAATGGAGAAAGGTGGTTGTATGCCCTCACTCTGCCTGAGGTGTTTGTATATAGGGCTTTCAAGATGTCAATAAAATTCTCAGGCACACCCTTCTTCAATAGACAATCCCAGCAATAAAAAGTCCTATCCAACGAATCGAAGGCAGCCTTGATATCAGGAAACACTACGATTGTTGGCCTTTGATAAGTATGGCGATGTTCTAACATTTAGCGGAGGGTAAAGATCTGATCAATACATCCTCGACCGGAACGAAACCCAGCCTGCTCCTCGCAAGTCAATCCTTCTCGGGTTTTGAACAACCTACGAAGTATAACGGAAGCCAATAGCTTGGACGCAATCGGAAGTAAACTTATCCCCCGATAGTTGTTACAGGAACGACGTGAACCCTTTTCAAAGATAGGAACAACTATCGACTCATTCCATGACGTTGGTACACTCTCTAGTTCCCAGACCTTTGTAAACAACGTCGTCAGTCCCTTCGTCAGAACGTCACCACAACCATTAAAAAGAGCCGGAGGTGAGTCGTCTGGGCCCGGTGATTTGTAACGTTTCAAGAGTTGGAGTTCCTTGAGGACTTCCGCCTCATTTGGTGGATCAGTCGTCACCGGCCATGGAGGGCAGGACAGTCTTCCCGATGTTGCCGGAGCAGCAGGCCAGTTGAGCCTGACCGATATTGCTACCTTGACGTGGTGGTCGGGCTTGCCTATCGTGATGAAGCAACTGAGCTATACTGGCTGGAACAACCGGATGAAGTAAATGATGAATTTTACAGGAAACTCTCTGAACTTCTTCAGAAAACTAAACGTTCAGACATAGTACTCGTAGGAGGTGACTTTAATGCCCAGGTAGGTAGCTTAAACAAAACAGAAAGACATTTAGGTGGGTATTTTAGTATTCCGGCACAGAGAACAGATAATGGTGATCGTCTGCTGCAACTGTGCTCAGACAATCGTTTATTTCTAGCAAACACAAATTTTAAGCATAAGGAGAGACATCGTCTAACATGGCGACCCCCTGCACCAAACCATCGATGGACTCAAATAGACCATATTGCCATCAGTCATCGTTGGAGAGGGTCAATAGAAGATTGTCGCTTATTCTGGAGTACCTGCGTGGACTCCGACCATGCCCTAGTACGAGCACGCATCTGCTTGCGCCTCACTGGACGCAAAAGAGCCACACAAAAAAGACTCATTAGAATCGAATTGAGTAATGAGAAAACCAAAAGTAGGTTCCAGGAACAACTGAGGTCACACTTAGGTGGTTCTGAAAACGAGGCTGACCCAGATGTTGCTTGGAAAGATATACAATCAGCTGTGGAAACAGCAGTGACATCTACTAGCGATTTAAACCACAGGGTTACTAAGAACCAATGGATTTCTTCAAGGTCTATTGCACTGATAGATTCTCGTAAACTCATCCCATCAGGTTCTGAACACGATGAAGAGCGGAAACAAATCAGATCTAGGCTAACCAAAAGTCTAAGGAACGATCGTGAGCGGTAGTGGGCAACGAAAGCAAAGGCGGAGGCTATAGAGAACACCAGACATCTCTTCAGACTCGTAAAAGAAACTGGAAATAAAAAGTCAGGTGTAGGTGACACTATCTCGGAAAAAGACGACACTTTCATCTGCTCCCAGTCCAAACGTTTAGAACGATGGGCGGAACATTTTAAGGAGCAGTTCAGTTGGCCTTCAGCTACTCTACAACTATCCTCTATTCCCAGACAGTATGAATGGAACATTGAAGTAGGTCCTCCAACTCTAGCTGAAGTTCAAAAGGCTATAGCTAATCTGAAACGAGGAAGGGCAGCTGGTCCAGACGGATTGGTTCCAGAGGTCTTTAAGGATGGTGGTCTAGTTTTAGCTATTAGGTTGACTAATATTTTAGCTAAAATCTGGGAGTTAGACGTTATCCCATCTAACTGGTCACAATCACTTATCGTCCCAATATTTAAGAAAGGGTCAAAATCATCCTGTGACAACCACAGAGGGATTAGTTTAACTAATATAATATCTAAAATACTAGCTTCGATAATTTTCGGACGCCTAACTAAGACTCGTGAGCTGCAAACACGTGAAAATCAGGCTGGCTTCAGACCTGGTCGTGGCTGCATCGACCACATATTCACCATTCGTCAGGTTCTAGAACACAGGCATACTTATCGGCGTCCGACAATAGTGGTCTTCCTTGATTTAAAAGCAGCGTTTGACTCTGTTGATCGAGAGGTTCTGTGGCAGTGTCTGTCATTGAAAGGCGTACCTCAGAAGTACATAAACCTTGTGAAAGCTCTTTACTCGAACACTACTAGTCGAGTGAGAGCTTATGGCGAACTGTCATCTGCTTTTGCAACCTCAAGTGATGTCCGTCAAGGCTGTCCACTTTCTCCATTTTTGTTCAACTTCATCATAGATCTACTGATGGAAATAACGCTCTCATCGACTGAATTCTCAGGTATCGATCTCCTACCAGGAGGTCCACTTATTGACTTAGAATACGCAGATGACATAGTCCTGTTTGGTGAAGACGCTGATGAAATGCAGAGTCTTTTGGTAGCACTGAGCAACAATGCCAGAATGTTTGGGATGCGCTTCTCTCCCTCCAAATGCAAGTTGTTGCTTCAGGACTGGTCTGCGTCAACACCTGAACTAAGGATAGGGGGTGAAGTAGTCGAACGCGTCGACAACTTCACTTATCTTGGAAGTCTGATCAGCCCTAATGGGTTGGTGTCTGACGAAATGTCTCCACGGATTCGAAAAGCTCGCTTGGCCTTTGCCAACTTACGTCATCTATGATGCAGGCGAGATATCCGTCTATCAATTAAGGGACGAGTATACTGCG